CCTGGAGAGTGATGGGCATGGGGAATGGCACATTTGCCTAGACTGCCGTACTTGCCCGTTATTGTCAGGTTCACCTTTTCCCCGCTGCACCATGGCCTTGTGATGCTCCATATCCCGGCTTCGTTGTCATCTTTGGGTTCTTTGTGTGATTTCCTGGATAGCTTTCCAGCATGGTCACATCTCAAGATACAGTCACTTCAAAAGGCGCCACTACACATTTCGACTTCGAGAAGTAGGCCCAAGACCATCAAAACAAACACACGATGCAAGAAAAAGGGGAAGAAGCGCACGAGCACCAGCTACGGATTGCTTGACAAGCAAGAACACACACAAAAAAAAAGAGAGAAAAAAAACGAAGAAAAACAGGAGGAAAACATACAGAGCATTCAAGGAACAAACCCCTAAGTAAGGTGAGAAACCGCCGGGTAAAAAAGTACCGCCGATGATGTGAAACCGGATTTCCGTTCGTCCTCGGAGGAAGATGGATCAGGAAATGCATCAACAATTATTCTCAGGGGCATATATATATACGCGCAATCTTCGGAGTCCGACATCACACAGGCGCCGGCGTACTTGCCACGAAGCCAACTTGCTTCAGTTAAGACCGTCACTAAATGACCTGTCGAAGCAAAGCTCGCGAATTTTTGTTTTCTCCTCTTGATCCCCGTTCCATCCCCGCTCCGCCTCTTCACTCAGGCGGTCCTGCACTGAGTCAAAGTTCCAACAGAATCACGTTGCAATACCCTTTCCCAATTCCTTCCTCACGTTTCATGTCTCCCTGCACCTTTCACTTTTTATTTCCGGGGTCGTTTTTCCCCTGTTGTGGTCCACAACTGTACCTCTCTTCCCAACACACGGACCCTGTTGAGCATAGCTCCTGAGACGGAAACCACACGAGCATCAATGGAGTGATGTCAAACACTCAGGCATGGGCGAAACCAGAAAGGACACGAGAAAAACATGGAGGAGTGGTTCAAACACGGTCCTATCATGATCAACAGTCTTGAATAACAAGGGCTTGCTGTCGTGGTTGTCGACTGCATCGTCCCCTTTGTTGTTGAGCAACCACTTTCCGATTAAAGCTCACTCATCGCCGACAACTTCTGGATCATCCGTATGACTATACGGAAGGTCATCACCATCACCATCCCGAATGAACAACGGCCTCTCACTCACTCGCCCGCTCGAACTTATCTCTCATCTCACCATATCGACTCCGCAGGGTTGTTCAAGGTTGTCAAACAATCCATCCCGCTTTTGCACTCTTCGCCTTCGTCCCTCATTCTTTTCTGGATTACAACGGTCATTAGGAGAAAATCAGAAAGGACATGAGAAAAACACGGAGGAGCGGATCAAAACCGGTCCTATCATGATCAACATCATTGCATGACAAGCGTTTGCTGTCATAGCTGTCGACTTCCTTGTCCCGGTTGTTGTTGAGACACTGATCTCCGATCTCACCATCTCGACTCCGAAGCGACTCCGAAGGGTTGTTTGAGGTTGTCAGACAATCCATCCCGCTTGCGGACTCTTCATCTTCATCCTCATCGTCATCTGGATGAGAATGATAATCGTCATCGTCATCGAAGAATCAGTGGCCTGTCCTCCCTCGCTCCCCTCATCTCACCATCTCAACTCCGAAAGGTGGTCTGACGTTCTCACACAATCCATCACGCTTTTGGATACTTCGCCTGCATCCTTATTCTCATGCTGGATGACGATTTTTATCATTGCCATCGATATGAGCATCGGCATCTCACAAGCTCACTCACACTTATTCTTATCTCACCACCCTGACCCTGAAGAGTTGTTGTCAAACAACCCATCCCGCTCTGGACCTATCGCCTTTCATCCTTATTCTCCTCTTGATAACAATACTTTATCATTGCCATCGCAGTGAGCAACTGGGTCTCGCTTGCTCACTCACGCTTATGCTTATCTCACCACTCCGACTCCGAAGGTTGTTGTGAAACAATCCCATCGCTCCCAGACTCTTCATATTCATTCTTATTCTCATCTGGATGATGAAGTTCGTCATGGCCGTCATCGCAAAGGATCAACGCGACTCTATGCTCATCATCCTGGGTCCCCGTCAAATACCCAACTAGTGTCAGAAAATATAAGCCGATGAGAGATGTTTAGCACTTGGGAAAGGGTGATGAACAATGTCAAGGCCGATATGTGATCGGGAATGACTCTGGCCTCTTTTTGTCAATCGCTTCGTTGGACACTCCAACTATACAGGGGTACTCGGCCTTGCTCGCTTGAGAACTCTGTTAACCACCTTGAGAACCAGACAATCAAGAAGGAAAGAAGAAGGGGAGATCATTCAGATCACGATAAGAGCAGCAAACTGGGCTATCCTCGGAGGGATTCCGAGCAACGGCTGCGTCGCAATGGACGGAATGGTCATAACTTTCATCATCCCACTACAATCGACATGACCTGACATACGAAAGTACACGGGGCCAGTCAGTCGCGTCAGTCCTAGTGAAGACCTCAGCGCAAGGACGAAGACGACGAGTGCGTAATTGACAGACGAAACCATACATACCGCCACGTCCACAAAGCTGCCTGTCACTCGTCCCTGGGGGTAGAGCCATCGGATGCACCAACGGGTCAAAAATGGTTGAAAAATGACTTTGGTCTCTTCTTCTCGGTCACTTCACCAGACGCTCCAACTATCCACTCGGGCTTGCTCGCTTGAAGAACCCTGGCAACCACTGGGAGTAAATAAAAGCAAGAAGAGAAAGGGGAAAAGTAACCATCAAGATTACAAGAAGCAAAATGAACCGTTCTTGGGGAGATTCAAGCGATGGCTACGTCGTAATGGAGAGGACGGTTAGAACTTTCATCATCATCCTACAACTAACGTGCTCTGACATAGGAAATTGCAGTCGCGAACTTCCGGGCTCACCGTGTGTGTTAACAACGCATCGCTCATCTGCTAGCATCCCATCTAGCCGCCGTGTGTCGTCCTCTTGCTCTCTCCAAATGCCGTCCCACCCCAGTCCGAAAACGATATCACAATTTCAGTTGTCGGTAATGACGGCAGGATAGTTGTTGTATCCGCCTTCCGACCTGGCTTTCGACCATCGATGCTCCCTGGAGAATGGTCAGCCGTTGTCGATTAGACCACAGAGCGATTCACCGTCAGAGGGAACAGGTCCCAGCTCGTCAGGTCTGAGCAGCATTTCCTTGAACTCAGTTGTCTTTTTTCTTCTTGAAGGACGGAGTTCTGTTAGCACGGCTTTGAGAATCGGAACTTTGTGGCATGGAACTTACCAGGTCTTGTCCCTGTTCCTCGACTTTCTCTTTCCGAGGCTGAGAGGTTATGTTTTCGTCCCATGGGCTTTTCGTCTCTCATGGATCCCACCTTTTTCTTTTCCTCTTCCCGTCTTCTTTCCGGATTTCTTCTTTCTTTGCTTTTCCCTTCCTGTTGTTTTCTTTCGTCCTATTCGAGTCCTTCTATAGCCCATTAGCACCTATATCTCCACGAACAGCCCAAGCATCAGGACGGAGGCAGGTATCGTGGCCGCTGTTCATCCTCACCAGTTCGCGGAGGCAGCGCGTCACTTTCCTCGAACTCGATTTTCTTTTCTTCTTGGAGGATGGAGTTCTGTTAGCACGGCTTCTGAGGGTTAGAACTTTGTGGCATGGATCTTACCGAGTTTTGGGTCAGTTTCCTCGACCTCCCGTTCATGAAGCAAGGGCAATCTCGTCACACTATTGTGGTGTTTTGCCAACCCTCTTTGTTCGTTGTCTTTTCAGCTCATGCAGATTCTTCCTCTCTTTTTCATACCCATCCCCTTCCTCGTCATCCTACCCATGGTCATACTCCCTGTCGTCGTCATATTCCCTGTCGTACCTCCCCGCACCTGGGAAGTAACCCGATATAGCGCTGGCCTCCTTCTGGCCTCTCTTCCTGCTTCAAGTCCTTTGCAGCACCTACTGGCGCCTATTCTCCCAAAGCAGCCCAATCAATAGGGAAGAGGTAAGCATCGGGGGTGTTGCCATGCCCTACCAACCACGAAGACGGAGCGTCAGCTCCCCAAGGTTGCCGATGCTATTGTCACTGCCGTTACTGTTGCTGTCATCAGCTGTCCTTTCCCTTCCGTGGACCCATTGCCGACGTCGGTTTCGAGTCAGGCACGCTTAGCGCAAGCGGACTCTTCACGTTTGGCAGGGTCGAGCAAGGCCGGGCAAGGCTGCGAGTCCCGCGTCGGCTGGCGAACTGCTGTTCCACGTCCACATCGACGCCCACGAGCTGGCTGGCCGCCGTTATCGCCAACGATGTCCCGTGAAGCCCAGATATTGCGCAGGCACATTGTCGCCTCCCGAGGAAACTGTACGCTAGGAAGTGCTCGTCTTTCTGGCCGTCGTCTTCCTGGCCGCCGTCTTCCTGGTGCTCGTCGTCCTGGTGCTCGTCGTCCTGGTGCTCGTCGTCCTGGTCGTTGTCGTCTGCCGTTCTTTTCTATCGCTACCATCGACCCGTTGCTGGCTGTTTAGGTCAGGCGCGATTGACCCAAGCGAGCCATCCACGTTGGGCAAGGCTAGGCAAGGCTGTGGGTTCCGCGTCGGATGATGAACTGCACGTCCACGCCCACGTCCATGTCCACCTCAGCGAGCTGGCTAGTCGCCGTGCTCGTCAGCGATGTCGCACGCGGATGCCGCGCAAACACGCCGTCGCCTACTCAGTAGACAGTAATACGACGGGAGGTGCTCGCCGTCAACGTCGTCGTCGTCATTGTCGTTGTCGCCGTCCATTTGGTCGAGGATCGCCGACAATTCCCCTCGCCCGCATTATATCTGTCAGTCAGCTTCTTTCATCTCTTGTTATTCTTAATTCTAGGGGGGCGGTCTCTCACCTCACTTCCATCCCATCCCACTCGCTTCGTTGGTCTTCTTCATCGCGTCCCAGATCGAGGCATTGTTCGGCTCCCTCTGTCACATGACCGTCAGCTCTGCTTCCGATTGTTCATGGCATGCGAGGGAAGGGCATGGACGATGGAAGTAGCGGACATGGTGTGTCAAGTCGTGACAAGTTCTTGGTCCAGGGATTATCATCTGTCGGCTATCTTCCTCCCCTCCCTGTCAATCTCAGCTTCAGAGTGCCGCCGGTCTCTCGCCTCACCTCCATTCCATCCTATTCGCCTCGTCGGTCCTCTCCATCACATTCCGGATCCAAGCATGGTTTCGTCGCCCTGCTACATGTTCGTCAGCTCTGCTTCCAGTTGTTGGCGGATGTTATGGGAGGGCATGGACCATGGGAATACCGGATTAAGTGTTGCTGTACCACGAAGCCCAGGGCCCAGTTTTCCTTCCTCGTCCCGTCTAGGAGACCGTCCTCTCCCGTACCCAGGGCATGTCTGCCTCGCAGTCTCGCGACTTCCCCATCTGGATGGAAGGAAGATAAGGGTGTCGACCTCCGATGCAACAACTTCCACGTCAAGCTCTGCCTCGAGCTCTACCTGATGGCTGGCGAGCGCGTCATGGTGTGCAACTCTGCCTTCAACATCTCCAACAGCGCCCTTCTCGTGGTGTTGATATACCATGAAGCCCAGGGTCTCTACACCGGCTGGTGTTCTGTCAAAGTTGGCATGGGCTGGCGCTTGGAGTTCCGATACGGCGATCTGTGTGGCCAGCGACTTTCGAGCAGTCTTCGTGACGCTCGCTTGTGGGCTGCTTCGATCGCCGCTTCCACCCCACATTGAAGTCGTCTTGCTCTTTGTGTTCTCGCTTGTCTTCTGACAGTGAGCTGGGGAACCAATCGTCGCGGTGGCTAGCTGCTGTCGCCGTGGTCAGGCATGGTCATGGTTCGGGGCACGATGTTGGTGGTCCAGATAAGGGCATGTCGCTTTCGGTCCCGGTGCTGGTTCTGGTGCTGGTTCTGGTCTGGCACCCTAGCGCCGCCGTGTTGTGACCTTCGATAAGGAAAGAGCTAAGGAAAGAGCGATCATGTGTGCGGCTGTAGCTCGTATCATGTCTCGTCAGTGCGAGACTGCCGTATGAGATGCCGTCGGGAAGGTGCCCGCCTGCGGTGTTGTACCTCCTCGGCGCCCGGGTGCTCTGCCCCCGGACAACGGTGGGGTCGTTCGTCACGCTCATCAGGGTCAGGAGTTCTTTCGCGGTTACGGATCGATGCTCGGAGATACCACAGTGCCAGGCCTCCCGTTGGCTACCGCGCTGCACGAGAAGGGGCCCCGCCTTCCCCTGCCTCCCCGCGCTGTTCATCGGTCGTCCGATATGGCTTGGGTTTACGCTCGATGATAGATAGCCGGATCGCCGAGCCTTATCCGCTAGCTCTAAAGCCGGCGCAACTCGCTTCGACAACGGACGACCGATGAGGATGCACGACAGGCCGACGACATCTACGAGACGAGATACGCACGCAGACGATGACCAAGGACCCGAAGCTCGCCAGACTGGCTTCTCGGGAGCCAGCTCAGCATTGCGTTGGCCCCGAGGGCAGATTAGATACGGACGAAGCGGTCGCAAACGATGTCGAGCATGAGAACGATGATAAGGACGAGGACCTCAGGCAAACAGCCACGGACCCAGGGCTGAGCCCCTATACGCCACAAAGACAGCATACGAGTTGCCAAGGACTTGCCAAGTCTACTGACCAGACGTCTGGTCGCAGTTGTGCCAGCTGCCCGTCGGTAGGGCTTGTGGTGGTCCTGGCAAGATCTCTAGAGCTTTGGTAACCTGTGGTCCCGTGTGGTCATGGTCGAAACATCTTGCAGCACTGCTTTTCAGGTGGTGTCAGGGGGGAGGGACGTCTTTGTCCTGTTGGCCTGAGCACTGCGTGCCCTTGTCGTCGTGCTTCCTGGTCCTTACCCCTAGGCGTACTGGGAGAGAAGTGGTGGGGGCCACGGGTGATGTGGGGCTCAGCACGTTGTGGTTGGCAGAGGTCTTTACTGTACTGGTCCATCACAATTCACGATTCACGATGGAGCTTAGACTGTGCTATTGGTCCCCTGCGGGGGCGTCTCAGAATCCCTTCCGGGTCCCGCTCTCCACAGAAGGACCCGACGGTATGGCACGACCCGACGGGCATGGCACGTGTGGGGGTAAAGCTCCAGGATAATGGGATAGGGGACATCGTGGAGGTTGACAGCTGGAGGCCGGACGCAGTCGACCGACGAGGGCTCACTGGAGGATAGTACGTTGACACCTGTTCTCAGGTGTCCACAGTGCTTGCCCATCGTACGCCCTTCGGCTTAGAGAGGGGGATCATTACCAACGGACATGTCCATCTGTTCTCCCATTACCTCCTCGGTCTTAAGCACATGTACCTTCCTCGCCGTCGTCTTCCACCTTCTTTCGCCCTCTGTGTGTCTACCGGCAGCTCCTTACCTCCGCGGGCTCAAGCATGGGTTTCGTCATTGGCGTCGTCTCCCAATTTCTATCGACCTCTGTACATCCAGCAAGGCAGCTCGTTATCTTCCTGCCTCAAGCTCGCCACACTCTCATCGTCACCCCATGCCTCAAAAACGAAACACCTCGCATTGAACTCCGGTATCTGCTGGCCTCAACCACTGACTCACAACAAGCCGCCTCGCATCGGACTTCAGTATCTGATGATCAGCCCGCGTTCCAAAGATCCGTCTTGAACACGTTCATCAAAAGCACCAGCAGGAAGCAGACACCGCCACGGTCTGCAACTTCGCTAACAGGGCATGCCACGGTTTATACCAGGAGACAGCAGCGAGATGTTAGGGACAAACCCTGAAGACTGCTGCGGTCAGAAAACATCATGGATAGCAACAGATGCACAGGAACAAAACCTGACGACTGCTGCACACCAAGAATATCGTAGATAGCAATAGATGTGTCCGTTGATAGCGTGCGTTTTGCATGTTCTATTCCGAAATGACTGGCTTGTGCCAAAAGACCGCCTATATATTCCCCCTCCTAATGCCCAATCCTCGACCTCTCTTCTTCTTTCTCTTCCCATCATCTCACAGTGGACAGCACTTGCTACCATCTCTCCAAATTCGCTAATCAATCATCATTCAACACATTATCTTCAAAACAAAATGTTCAACAAACCCGTCTTACACATTGCCGATGAGGCCACGACCCCGGCCCCTGAGCCGGCTGTCCAGCAGAAACGGCCACGGGGCAGGCCTCGTTCCAACCCTAATGATCCGAAGTGGCTTATTCCCAAGCCTGAGGGTCGGCCTCCGACGGCGAAGAACCCCCTTCCCAAGCCCGATGCGGAGTTCCGGGAGACCTATTACGACCGCAAGAAGCGGAAGGCTTCCGAGGAGTTACCCGTTCGCCTCGCCGCTCTACGAGGAAGAGAAACACGGTGAACGAAAGTCTCGATCTGGCGAAGCTGGTGGGAGAAGGTATGTTCCATTCATTTGCTTCTATTGCAACTGCCACTTTCACAACGCCAGTATCTGCAACAGCCCGTTTCCGTTTCCTTCGTTGTCTTCTTGTTTATGGTGATTGTTTCTATTATCGTCCATCTTTGCATTGCCCATCATCGTCTTCCATCATCGTCTTCCATCATCTAGCCATTAGCACGGGCAACCATCATCTTCATCGTCTTCGTCTCCAATTATCTTTGTCGTCATCCGCATCACTCGCTAACCCCTTAAAGCCCTTGAAGAAGATCCCGAGCCCCAAGACAACGCCCGGGCTCGTGCCACGCAAGAACCGACGCCCCCTCCCTCCCTCCCGACGTCCGGCGAATCGTCGCCCAAGAATTCGATTGTTGTCCAGCACCACCATCACAACGACAACAACAACAAGAACAACAACGACGAGAGATTTGGTCGAGGCTATCGCGCCTCTCGCCTCCCGACGCCTCCCGACTCGTCTTCCGACCACGACGACGACAACAAAAGGGGCAGAATGGGTCCACACCCTAGCCATCCGATCCTCCCAACGCCTTCACCCTCGCCTCCGAAGGCGGCCCGCGTCCCTGGCTCCGTCCTTGCCCGCCCTGCTCCCGTGCCGGAGGCTGCTCCCGTGCCGGCTCGCATCCACGCCCCTGTCCCCCCTGCTCCTGCTCCCGCAGTCCGGGCTCCGGCCGTGGCCCCCGTCTTGGCCCGTGCCGCTCCCACGCCTCTCCTCGCTGTCCTTCCGCCTCCCGTTGCCCCCGTCGGCGTGCTCCCCGCCGCGGACGACCCACTCGATATCGGCGCCGCCTTCATTGGCGAGATGGACGCCTTCATCGATGACCACATCCAGCCCTTCCATCTCCCACCCGCCCATGTCAACCCATGGGACCAGAACGCGTGGCTCCAACCGGGCCCGTTTAACGTCTGGGCGCAACCGGAGCGCCATTTTTTCCGCGAGGCCATGGCTGCCCACCCCAGGGGCGGAATGTGCCCGGCTTGCATGGCTAGATACGGAAACGGCTTCGATGTTTTGGAGGAGTGGTTGCCTGCTGGGCACCCTGCTGCGGGACCCTGCTGCTGGGCATGGCCTGGTAATCAGTACATGGGTGCCCAGTAGGCGACTGGAGGCAGGGGGACTTTTTTTCTTTTTTTCTTTCTTTTGTGTCGACCTCGTGTCTTGACCTCAACTGTTTTGTGATGTTGAGTGTTGCTTACCTACCTTAGAAAGCCGGGGTCTGATGATGAACTATGTACTCGTCCGAGTATTTCTGAGGACTTTGGCTTCTTTGGTTTGGTAGTGTCTGTCTGTTTCTGTTTTTGTTGTTCGTTGTTTGGTTTTGAGTCTTGGATTGCATAGTGGTTTCTTACCGGACCAGGTCGAGCATATGAATGCTGGTACCGAGTTTTTTTATGGAGTGGCGTGTCGTTGCTTATTGTTGTCGTTCATAGTTTGGAGACAGTCTTTTTGGGCATAACATATCGGAGTAGTGATGGATATTGGGTACAATTGGGTTCTTCATGGGACTTTGGCTTAGGTCCGGGAATTTTCTTTATTTATTTTCTGGTGTATCGGTAGGGCTTGTAGTGCATGAGCGATGGTCTGGTATTTTTGGTACGGAGCAGGCCTAGCGATGCTTTCTTGGTGTTTTCGTTTCTTTCGTCGTCGTCGGTCAAAGATGACAGCACTGTTTTGTCTTTCACGAATCAAGGGGCTATTGTGTCGTCGTCCAACGATGACAGCACTGTTTGTCTTACAAAATCATGGGGTTGTTCATGGTCGTCGTCGAACGACGTCAGCACTGTCTCCACAGTCCACACAAATCAAGAGGGGTGTTTTTGGCACGTGATCGTCCACGCTGCTTCTCCACTGTCGCTAACCGCCTTTGGAATGGTGGTGATCGACAAAGCGTGCACGTTCCCCTGCTAAGAAAACCCCGAAGCGAAGCAAAGCGGTCTCGCGCGGTCTTCCTCTTGCCGTGATTCAGCGGCACTTTGAGTACCTACCTAGCAAACGAATACAGTTGGTGCTCTTCTCAAAAACTTATTGGATCTAGTGTGAATCCCTCGAAGAACGATAAATGTCTTGAATGCAACCACACAGCTGCCGCCGCCACGAATATCGGGGGTTTTTGGTGTGGTGATTGAACGTATCGAGACTTCCGCCGAGTCCTAGCTTGTGACGTAAAGGTATGGAGGAGAGTCGAAGGGAAAGGAGGGAGGGTATTAGCGGTTTGTTTACGTGATGTCGGGGATTGAAAGGCGGAAAAGGAGGAGGAGAAGAAGAAGAAGAAGAGTGGAAGAGACATTTGGCATTCAAAGCGGGACGTGAAACCAAGGTAAAGATTCGGCCTGGTGGTGTTGATGGAAGACATTTGCTGATGATGGATCGATTTAAAGAGGCGAGTGACAGTTTGTATCAACCGTCGAGACGGAGCAACGGATTAGGAACGAGTGCGGACCGGGCCGTGACAGCCGTTCGTGGAGCATTCCAGAATCAGATCGCAATCTTAACAAACATCAGATGGAAGGTCTCTCAAGTTCAAGTTAACGAGTCAATGTCACTCTCCAGACTCCAGACAACAAACAGTCTTTCAGATCCCTTGGGCTAGCGGAAACGACAGTTGAAATTTCATAACAAACTGAACCAACTACCAACCAACCAAAACTGGTGTTTCTGCATCAATAGAAAGGATACATCTCTTCCCACAAACACTTTCATCATCATTTCATGTACTCCAAACGCGATCAATGCCCTAGATAAAGAAAGACCGCACCAGTACCAAGCCAACCTGTCCGTCTCACGGGGACTCAGCAATGATCGCTGTTTCCATTTCCGCCGTCCTTGCACTGGCCAGCACCGCAGAACGCCTGATAGGTAATCTCGCCATTAGGTCCTCCGGTACAATAGAACAAGGCGTCGTGAACGTGCGCATCATCGGTCGGCTGCCCTTTGGCCTTTAGGGCGGCGACGATTTGGTCGTAGTAGTTTCCTGTGTGCATCCATTGTCAGCTTGGGTAGGGGCGTTTGTCGAGGATGCAGTTACTCGGGTTTGTTAAGAGAGGCAGAGAGAGGGCGAGGAGAGGGCGAGGAGAGGCAGAGAGGGTGGAAGGGAGAGAGTACACACCTTTACGCAAAAGAACTGTTCCGCAGTAGAACAGACCTGGCTTGCAGTTATCAGCGCTCACGAGGGCACTGAAACTGGCGGCCATGGTGAAGAGGAGTGCGCGGGAGATGGCGACCATAGTGGCTCTTGTAGGTTTTATGTCTGGTTCAGTAGAGCTGAGTGATTGTAGAATAGTCTGAGTGGACGAGGCAATGATGCTGATTGCGATGATGGCCAAATCGACTTGTTGTTGGGACCTGGAGGGCTCTTATATACTCCTCGAGAAAGGACCTAGATTGTCGGGTGCATCGACAAGTTAGGAGCTTCTCCGCGGCATCGCTACAAGTGCCCTGGTAAGCAATGTACGCATTCACGTTCTGGTCCTCGTCCGTTGATCGTATGTTAGAATCATCTCCATTTATCTCACCGGTCGGGATTTGGTGTTGAATGTAAGCTTTTCGAGGTACTGCATGTGTGCCAAGAATCTTGGCCTTTCGACGTACTCGGATCCCATATATAAAGAGTCTACACGTCGACCGAATGAAGACAAAGTCCGGATTGCATTTAAACCCAAGACGCAAGCACATATTAAAGTCGAAAAAAGTGTCTCCTCACCTGCAAAGATCATCTATCTCCATTTGGATCATCTCCGTGAAAAGAGCAGAGATTCGAGAACAACTTAATGTGTGGAGATTCAACAATCTACACACCTGATACATCCTCCCGTCCTCGAAAGAGCAACGGAATGCACCGTCGCGCCACACAAAGAACAAGAAGTCAGGAGAACTTCCCATGAGAAAGTTAAGGCAAGGATGATCTTGTTATCGTGTATATCCAGGTAGGTAGGTAAATAGTTGTGTTAATTGACAAAGGTATCATTGTATGTAGGTATGTGCAAAGGGTTGTAAAAAAAAAAGCAAAGCTTCCACCAGATATCCAACTTCCTGTTCGTCTCTGCGTAGCAGGGAGGACAGGAGTGATGTGCATTAGAACTCCAAGCGCCAGGACCGAATTCTGCCGGCCTTTTCCTCCTCCTTCCCCTTTCTTCTTCTTCAATGATGGCGAGCCTGGTCAACATGCCAAAACAGTCGTGTTATCCGCACCAGACGTCTGGTTCCAAGAAGTTTGGTTCCAGCTCTGCCCCCCATTCCACGACGTCCCGCTCCCCGACGTCCCATTTCCCGATGTCGAGTTGGAGCTCTGCAAACCGTTTTGCATAGCATTCTAAGCCTCCAAAACAGCCACATACTCCACCTCCATCATATTCCCATACCCATCCGCCGTGTTCGCATCCGGCTGCCCCGGCCAATCGCCACCGACCGCCAGATTGAGGATAATAAACAACGGACTCCTCGCCAACGTCGCCCAAACGCCCTCATCATTGATATCGCTGCCCATAAGCGTCCCATACACCTTCCCATCCAACAACCAACTAATCTTCTCCGCCCTCCAATCCCCACCAGCATTCGTGCGATCAATCGACAAGCTCCAAGTATGCCATCCATAATCCGGCAGAAGCACGGTATGAGGAACACCCATGGGCTCGTTACACGGCCCACCCACGGCTTCGCCGTTCGCGCCGCCGCCGCAGTGCGCGGTCCCGTACCCCGTCAACAGACCGTTGATGGTCTCCATGATGTCGAGCTCGCCGCAGGCCGGCCAGGAGGTGCCGTGGTGGATGGCGTCGCCGAGCATCCAGAAGGCGGGCCAGAGGCCCTTCTTTTGGGAGGTGGCGAGGTCGCCGAAGCGGATGGAGGCTTCGACGAGGGTGGTGCGGTTGGCGGATGGGGTGAAGGTTGCTTGGGATTCGAGACGGCCCGAGCTCCATTTGCCGGTGGCGTCTTTGCGGGGGACGAATTGGACGGTGGAACCGCCGGAGAGTTGGACGTTCTGGTTGGAGGTGGTGTAGGCTTGGAGTTCGTTGTTGGTGTCGGTGCTGAGGGTTTGTTAGTATGGTTGATGGAGAATTGAGGGATGGATAGGAGCTTACTTGAGGGCGTAGTTCCACTTGGAGTAGCTCGGGGGAGCGCCGGCTTCACCCGTGAATTCGTCGGACCAGATGACTTTGTAGCCTGGGTAGGCGGGAACGGCACCAGCCGAGGCGAGGGAGAAGAAGGTGAAGAGGGAGGCGGTGGCGGTGGCGGCGGAGAAATGCATTTTGAGTGATGTCTCTTGGTTGTCCTTATTTAAGATATGTTTCGTTATGTTGATCGAAAAGGTGGTGATGACAAGAACGTATGATCGATTGATTCGATGTGGTGTAGTAGTAGTAGCAGTGAAAGTGAAAAAATCCGATTCGATAGACTTGCTATGAAGGAGTGTCGAAGGTATCGTGATGTTGTATAAATTTTGCAACAACGTCAAGCAGTGTAGAGAAGGTAATGGTTCACTAGGAACACTGTTGGAAAGAATGTATAATAGCAAGTTCGAAAAGGAAACAAATACCAGACCGGGCAGGTAGAGAGAGTGGAAAAGTCCCAAAATGGGATGCGTTAGAAAAGAACGGAAACGAAATATCTTGACGATGATGTGAGAGGGCGGAAAACAAGGCACAGCAGACGGGAGAGCATGAAGAGATATATAGATTCTGCATCGAGGTGGTCACCCCCTGCCTGGGTGACTGACCCCTGCTTATAGGACGCGATGGCAGTCCATGGACCAGAATAGGAACCCATTGGTGACTACAATAGGATATCGCAGCATCGGTACCTGATCTGACCGGATGGGATGGCAGGAGTGGGTACCTGATGGGACGGGGGGATGGCGGATAGCGGAGCATTGCCCAAGTGGGTGAATGTGAATGGGCAACAATAGGAACGAGTGAACGACGACGATTTGGAAGCGAGGGTTGTCCTAGGCGAGAGCGAGGCTCAGCCATTGATTGGGAGAGTAACAAGGATGAAACACCAAGGAAAACGGGGGTTAATTGGTAGCATTCAACAGGGCGCCGATGTCCAGTCGATGGCTTGGAGCTTAGTGGTGTTTGAGAAGTCTAGAATCTTTCCGGGGCTCGCGTGGATGTGCCGGCAGCCAGGGGAATCAGTGGGGGTCTGGGGGTGAAAAGTGACGAGCTCGCGGTCGATTCATCCAGACTTGGACTTTTTGTAATGAGTGGAGAATGAGTCCTGCTATTAACAGACGGGCCCTTGTTGATATCGGGGCAACATCGCGTTAGGACAAAGTCTCGACGTGTAGATCCGCTCCCGCGGCAAAAGCTGGTGAAGCTGGCGTGTTCCTTTGTTCGCTGGGCGCTCGGTAGTCAGCCAAGTCTTCTCGGCAGTCACCGATTTGCTGGTGTTGTTTGGATAATTTGGACTAAAACAAGCGCGAGCCATGGGGCACATGCCCGGGTGTTAGTGTTGCTATGTATGGCGTCGGCGGCAAGAGAAGCGCTAGGTACTTCACCGATTCACCGTGGTCTTGACGCTCGCTAGCTTGACGCTAATCGCGGTGACTGAGGTGAGCGCTTCATGATAGCTTCTTTCATTTGTTTCCAACGCTAAAAGCCGAGGGCGCGATGGATCATTCATGTTGACCTTGAATGCGAAGAGGCAAAAGGAGAAAACCCAAAATCGTGAATGGAGCGATAGGCTCAAGGGGTCCTGTCACGTCCCCACTCACTCACTAACCATGCACGGGCCACTTGTGAAGCTTTCCATCCAATCAAGTTCCGCCGAGCTCCAATCCACTAAATCCGTACCTGCGCAAGCCTCTCACACCACGGCCATCTGAAACAGGCTAACAGCCGAGAGGGGACAACTCTTAAGGGTTTATGCGTCCACGGCGCCCTGTCATTGTCGATTGCTTCTTCCCGTCGTTGTACAACTATACGATCAAGGCACGAATGCATCATGACAGCAACCCAAGCTCTGCCTGTCAACGGCAGTTGAGCTGGTACAACACTTGATGCCAGGGCAGCTTCTTGCCTTGCACAACAGAGGCAGCGCATCGCAGCCTTTGGTGAGCCTCCTGGAACGACGGACCCTTGATCATACGGCCCTGACGGACGACGCGGACTGAATGAACTATCCGGAGCTCTCCTAGCCACACTCCAGCCTGCCCGAACAACCGGTTCATATCCCCATCGACATGACCTGTTCTTGAAGCTGTCCACTCATGTGCAAGTCCCAGGCCGGCGGCGATAGTGACAACCAAGGGTGGACGCTGTCGCTATCATTACATCAAAGCCGTCATCAAGCTGTTGTCGAACCAATCGATCACCGCGGATGCCTTCCGTTGTCGAAGAGCACAAAATCGTTTGCAATAGTTTCTGTCAGTACATTAATTAGTACCTCTACTCATTTTACTTTTGCAGATTCAAATTGTCACAAGGAGATAATGTACAAAAGAGGCAAGGCGAATTCCCGACAACAATTAAGGGAGGCAAAGAAAGAAAGACGTCACGGAAAAGAGGGGGGAAAAAGAAAAGAAAAAAAAGAAAAAACCACGAGTGAGAAATATGAGATAACAACCATGAGAAAACAGGAGGCGAAAAAACATGAAAAAAAAATGTGATTCGATGGTCAATCGTGCGACGTGGGCCTGATTCGAACAGACGCTCCCGAAGGAACAAGATTTCTAGTCTTGCGCATTAGACCACTCTGCCACCACGCCTAGTGATTGTTGTTGTAGGTCAGCAAGGATTTAGCGCTTATTAGTGTCCTACAGAATGGGCCCATGGATCCGCTGTAGAGACGTCGCCAGCGGCCTCATTTTTCAACCCACGATCAACAACGGAAAGCCAATGCCTTTTATTTTGTCTAATATCTGTTAGTAAGTCTTATAGATATGTAAAATCCCAAGTTCCTGCTTGGGTCAAGATTGGTAGCCCACCATTGCGAAACCTACCCCCCAAAGCCAGGTGCACCTACGCCGCTAAGACGACCATTGTCCATTACTCTAACGATGACCCTGCCCAGACTCCAAAAACCACCCTGATTATTGACCTCCATTCATCCTTTTGGTTAAATTTCCTTACTCAGCAGTGAACCACCCACCAAGCTCAAACCTCTTCTCATCATACATGCATGTCCTCCTCGCATCCGGGTCCAACGCTCCCGCTAGACATCTAACCAGCCGCTTCATGTCCACCGGCTTGGGCATCCAGCCGTCGAATCCAGCTTCTTTGCACCGCTGCTCTTGACCGCGACGAAGCATACCCGAGACTGCAAATATGGGAGTCCTCCCACAACATTGCACGACGCGCGACGGCGTGGGGTGGCTGTACTCGTGATCTCGGATCATGCGGATGGAGGCGAAACCGTCTACTACTGGCATCTGAGGACACATGGCGGGTTAGTCAGAGTCCTTGGTCTCAAAAAGGGGCAGAAAAGAGACTCACGTTTATGTCCATGAGGACAAAGTCTACGGTGGAACGATTGGGGGCAAACAGGTTGAAGCATTCCTGACCATCGCGGCTGACCAAAACACGATGGCCCAGCTTGGTGAGACGTCTTTCTAGAATCTGCACGTTGATGATGTTGTCGTCGGCCACAATGACGGTGTAATGATGAGGACTCGGAGTCTGGAAGTCCTTCGGCGATGTATCGGCGGCGCTCGAGCCCGGGCGTATGATGGGGGGAGATGGCCTTGAGTCACCAAAGGTAGACGACCTCGAGTCTCTAAAGGTACCAAAGGTACGGTCGGATGGAACGCTGCTGCCCTCTCCGAACATCAAAGGTCCAGGCATCGTCAGCACCGGCAACGGGGATGCATCCCGACGTGAGGCTATCGATGAACACCGGGATGATACCACAAATGGAATCTCGAGGGTGAAGGTCGACCCGCGTCCCTTAGTTGACTTCACTTTCAGTTGTCCATTCCGCTGCTTCACAAAACGAGCTATGAATACCAATCCGACGCCAACGCGAAGCACATTACCCCGGTGAGCATGTGTTTTCGAGTTTGCCTCGTCAAAATCTTCATCGGGAACCTGCTCGAACTCCTGAAACATATCATCCAGCTCCCGCTCTGAGAACCCAGGGCCAGCATCCGTGATGGAAATGTGTATCACGGTATTCTTCGGATTCATAACCGTCTCATGCCATTTGACAACGATCTGGCCATTTGTAGTATGCTGGATTGCGTTGGCGACAAGGATGGATATGCTTCGTTGCAAACTTGTCGGATCCCCACGGACGTACTGCGTTGGTCCTGTAGATGGGATCATGATGACTTCAATACCCTTCTCTTGACCAAGCCGCCTTAGGGGATACAGCGCCTCTTCCAAGCAATGTGGAAGATGGAATGGTTCGTCCAGCAATGGGACGGATCCTGTTATGTTACCGGTCAGGCTCAGAAGATCATCAATGACATAGATCAAAGATTTTGACGCAGTGTATGAAGTTGTTAGGACCTGCTTTGTGCCATCATCCAGATGTCTTTCCAAGGCCATCTCAAGACAGTTTATGACGGCATTCAAAGGATTTCGTACTAGAAGAAGAACGCGTTAGCTGGGCGATCTGGAACACATGGATGTCTGGTTCCTACCTTGGTGTGATGCATCGTGCAAGAGTAGTCGCTTAAGTCGGGTATCATTGATGGCTGTCTCCTTCTCCCTCCAAACTTGTATGAAGCTGCCGTAGAGCAGCTGAGCCATTGCTGCCAAATTGGCTGGGAACTGGTGTTAGCGGAATTGGCAGATACTCGGTGGGAGGAGTGTAACCGTACTGTGTTCTATTGACCAGGCCTTGCTCGTGCCGTCAACCACCTCTGTCCATTTCTTGAAGCTATTTCGAGGCTCCAATCTGCCTATCTTGCCCGCAAACGAAGGCTTTCCTGCCCAATGTACTTCTCGGACCTGGTTTTTGCGGTAAAACACCACACAGTCATCTGTGGTGCTTGACAAAGGTATGTAGAGGACGCCTGCGATGGCTTTGAACCCGGAGGGGAAGTGGAGATCTTTAAAGTCGTCTCTGATGTTGTGTGAAAATAGTATCGTGCGCGATCCCCTAAAGAAGAGGTATTTCAAAAGCGTTATGGCTTCGGTATAGGAAGATAGCCGTCCAATAGTCCTGGCCTCCCCCTCGATGACCAGAAAGCCGCAGTCGCAATCGAAGAGGTTCAGTAGCTCGTGGGAAGAAGAAGTAATACACTCGTCCGGACTTCCCCTCCCTCTTAGTGTTTCAATAATTCGATGGGCCTGTAGCCTTTCTGAGTTGAGCAGCTTCTGAAGGCACGTAGACGCCGCCAATCCAACAAAGAATGATAACTCTCGGATCGAGAAAGGCACTCGGGTTGCAGCCGGTCCGTACGAGTGGCAGACAATGAGCCCCCAAAGCTTGCCATCAGACTCGAGAGACATGGACATGGACGACCGTACCCCCATATTGGACAGATACTTGAGGTGCACAGGTGAAATTGCGCGTAGGTAAGCATGAATTAAATCGAGTGGAACCTCCATGTCACTGACATCTCTGCCAATGAGCCTCGATGTTCTCTGGCTCCTGTCAAACAATACGCGAACCTTGTTGATCATGTAAAGCTTCCGGGCCTGCGGCGGTATGTCACTTGCGGGAAAGTGCAATCCCCTGTAGACATCATTGCTTGCTTTCGGATCCATGAGCTCAGCGACGACGGTGCCGTTATAATCCCGGTCGAACTGATAGACCATCACACGGTGGAAGCGGGTGACCTCCTTGACTATCGAAACGATGGTCTCAAGGAGATCAGGCAGGGTTGCTGCCTCGGAAAATCGCGTTTGTATCTTTGTAGCCATGCCAATAACCTCAACTGAGGACGTACTTGGGTCGAAGCCCTTGGAGAACAGCTCTGGATTTGGGAATACCGGTTGGACCTTGGATTGCATACTGCAGGCTGTGGCAAAATCCAAGTGGTCGCTACCGAGAGTGTCGATAGGGTTTTCCGGATCAGACATTGCTGGAGTTGCCAACGGATGCATCGAGTAATCTGGCTTTTAATTAGAGGGGCCCGTCTCATGCGATGATTTCCTGCTTCCTTATTACGCACCTTGCAACTCGAACTCGCAGATGAACAGATCAGTGTCTCCCCCTAAATAGTGCGCGGCACACCAACACGGAATCAGCCGACCATCTGGATCGGAAAACGAGAAAGCGAAGACGACAGGTTCTTGTTCCTTCTTGGTGCTATCGTATCCTTGACGGATGTGACGTAGCTGGACATCGAACAGATGACGCTGAAAGATGGGCATAACCTGGTAGAAGCTGTCGAGGGAAAGAAGCTCGGAGGGCTGGTAATGACAGACGAAACTGCTGTTCTCGCTGCAAATTCTGGGGAGGTATCTAGAAGGTCCAGCAACTCGTTCATCGACAAGTTTTAGTGCAACAAGCATGCCGTAAGACTGAATAGCGCCAGGTATGTGAATCGGTTCCTCATCGCAAGTAGTAAATGCGCGGCGGGTTTTCTGGATGACACCATGGGATCCGTCGGCCAGGATAGCATACTCGAAGGTTTCGGAGAGCAGCGAGTCATCTCCGCCATTGCCTTTCTTGAACGGTGGTAGGCATGTAGAACTATGAGAAGATGCAGCTGCTGAACTGCCTTGATGATTGGCTTGCTGGTCAGTTGTTGAAGGTACTGGTTCGCAATGAGGTCCATCGGGCGATGGCGGAGATAGATGTTGATCGGAAAGCTGCTGGGTAACAGGAACGACGGAAAGAATACTATCTGTGTCTGTTAGGGGATTTTAGCATTAGACTTGCTCGAACGGATATAGGTGAAGGCACATGGCGTTATGGAGTCTTACGTACCGGATACGTTCCGAAGAAAGGGGGAACTTTCAAGAATGGATAGCCGTATGGGGAATACTCGTTCTATGGGCTGTGACATTGGGTCCATGACATGGAACTTTTGGACTGGGCAGATCAGTTGTGTAAACGGCAAGAAGAGGAGAAAAAGGGATAACAAGAAAGGTCAAGGGACTAAATGTCCAATGTAGTCGGATATGTTGTGCCCAGACAAGTGATTCAAAGGGCTATTCGCGGTTCCAGGTAGATTGGACCAAGCCAGAGTCCCGTGAGGAAGATCAAGGATCAAGCTGGGTGGCAGAAGGGCGGAGAATGGAAGAACACATGTTCAATCGCGAGACATTCAGGACATGGGGCCCCACGATCGAGGTGAAATGCACAGAGAAGAGACATGACACCGAAAACCCCAAATAACACATAATAGTCCGAGGTGGACAAGTGGTGACAAGTCTGTCTGAGAAAAAAGTGACCAAATGGCCCGACAATATCCGAAAATTACTGTGCAATAGTCGACGTTGGGCTTGCTGTTTGTCTTTTCTGTTGTGGCCGACTGCTACTAGTAGTGATGGGTCGGGGTTTGGTGGTTGCCGGGCGTCCGAGATCCTCGACGGCCGCGATGAGGTTGGGCTATCGTGGGACATGGTGTGTTCGCTCGGCGTGTGAAGACGGTCCTTACACAGACATCAAGGGTCGTGGATGTAGGGTCTGGACTCCATCGCTGCAGCGTTCAACGGCGTCTGTCACACCCGACCATCCTCCACATTGAGAAGCACAACATGGTGATGAGAAAGGATAATAAGCGGAAAGGACCGGCCGAGTGGTACAGGTGTATGACTGCACGCTTTGGACGGCGTCTCGAGCAGGGGCGCCGAGGAGATAGACGGTCGATGGTGTCAACGCGAATCGGTGGTGGCGACTTGGCGACGGTCGACTTAGCGTGGCCTTCGAGAAATGAGATTTAATTGATGATGGTTTGATATTCAGAATGCCCTGTCGTTGACTCTTCCTCGACGATGCTCGCTGTGGCGTCGACTCGTGCTCGAACTAGCCGGCGCAAGCTGAGGTGGTCGGGTTGAAATTTGGATTCCAAACCCGCGCGCACAAAACCTTTTCTGGATTGAATCGACGAAGTCGCAAATGCCAATCACTCTTTCCATGTTTGCGGTGTCTTTGTCGTTGTCCAGCTTGGAGTTCATTCACACATGAGGAAGGCACGATTGGACGCGTCGCGCGGCCACCGGCAGGCAGCAGAGCCATCATGGTCACACGGCTTCGTAGGTCTACAATTGAGGGGAACAGTTCGACCATCACAATTGCCCATAATTTCCATGCCGCCGTGGCTGTTCTGCCATCTTTCGCCTTGAGCATCAAACTCGCCATGAAGTATGAAATGGGGATAGAGTCAACCGCCAACGCCAAGAATGTCGTGATGCTCCTTAGTAAGCACCATTGTGGCACCCCCCATCTCCGACACCCTCGGCACCCTTTACTAACTCCACAGAGGAACGATTAGGGAAACGATGACATTCAGATTCAATACCGACTATTCCACGATCCAATCATCGACAACAAAATTGAGCAACCTAAACATCCTGTCGACCTCCTGCATCTTTCAGCCCTACTCTATGCCGAAGAGCGAAGCGACCCAAGCATTGTCGCGAACGGCTCATGCCAAGCGATGACGAGCGGAAGGCATATAAAGATCCGTTATGGCCCACGCGACGATGAATTCAAATCTGGGACGTCTCGATTGCTCCATGAGTCCTCGCCCTTAGCCGGCGACCGCTTCCCTGAGCCATCATGAGAACTCGAATAACACATGCCCTTTTACTGGCGCAATCTATAACCACAGCTGTCACCACGCAAGCTAGGGACAATACGTATGACTACATCGTGGTGGGTGGTGGTGTATCTGGTCTGGTTGTCGCCAATCGCTTGACTGAGGATAAGAACGGTAAGAACAGTTCCTTATCGTGGATTGATCGACCACTAACTTGCCCTAGTATCCGTTCTTGTAATCGAAAGAGGCTACTTCGACGACAAACCTGAAGCAATCGTCCCTTACTACGCCAACAGTCTGGATCTAGATGTCCTCATCAGTCCGACATCCGCCCCCAATCCCCAGCTCAACAATGACACTTTCTCCGTGGCTGTCCCGGCCGTTGTCGGTGGTGGCTCCGTGGTCAATGGCATGGGATATCTCCGAGGAAGCAAGGAAGATTACGACGCTTGGGAAGCCCTAGGAAATCCGGGATGGGGCTGGGACGGTCTGTTGCCTTACTTCCGCAAGAGCACGACTTTCACTCCTCCCACGTCTGATGCCGTGAGAGAGTTCAACACCACATGAGATCCTTCCGCTTATGACAACGGCCCGTTGCACGCCCACATTCCGAGCTTCCAATATCCCGACATCGCTACCATCTGGGATGCTTTCCGTAGCCAAGACGATGTTCCGGTGCGAGCGGGCGGAAACGCCGGGGACGGCCCAGGCGCATATTGGTTACCCTCCACCATTGACGGTCGTGGTATGACCCGTTCGACCGCTCGCAAAGCATACTACGATCCTGTCAACACTACCCGTCCGAACCTGCACCTCTTAACAGGCCATACAGCCAGAGAGATTCTCTTTACCGGCAGCGCCCCAAGTCCCACCGCTAACGGTGTCCGCATCGTCTCTCGAGCCAATAACTCAACCCGCCAAGTTTACGCCCGCAAAGAAGTCATCCTCGCCGCCGGCGCCATCCAAACCCCTCAACTTCTTCAAGCTAGCGGCATCGGTCCATCCAGCGTCCTCAAAGCAGCCGGCATCCGGGTCAAGAAAGACCTCCCAGCCGTAGGCGCCAACCTCCAAGACCACGCAACCACCATCCTCATCTTCTCCCTAACCAACCAATCCTTCCCCAACCCCGACACCATCACCACCAACACCACCTACTTCGCCGCCATCTGGGCCGAATACCTCGCCAATCTCACCGGTCCCATCTCCGCCGCCCCCGCCTCAAGCGCGATCCTCTTCGGTCTTCCCCATCTCAACTCCTCTGCTGCCGCCTCCGTCACATCCACCAAACTCCTCTCCCAATCCTCTACCCTCACCTACCTCCCCTCCAACGCTCCCTCCTCGCCAAATCTTTTGTCTCTCCCAACTCCTCCATCGTAGCCCACTCCCTCCCCGGCAACGGGTTTACGCCCGCCCCACTCCTCAAGCCTCTCTCCCGCGGTACCGTCACCCTCGACCCCTCTGACCCCTTTGGATTACCAGTAGTCCAGTACAACACGCTCCAGAACCCGATTGATGCGGATAACGTCCTAGCCATCATCCGGCGCGCGTGCGAGTTTTGGCGTTCTCCTGCTCTTGTCGAGCGTTTCGGTCCTATTACCGAAGTCAGTCCCGGGGCGGAGTTCCAGACTGACCAGGAGATCTTGGCAGAGTTAAAGAGGAACCACGCCCTCTTCTGGCCTAGTCTCGCCCACCCGTCTGGGACGTGCGCGATGATGTCTGAGCGGTTGGGCGGGTGCGTGGATGCGGAATTGAAGGTTTACGGAGTGAAGGGGTTGAGGGTCGTGGATGCGAGTGTCATGCCGTTGATTGTGGGTGGGGGGTTGCAGGCGACTGTCTATGCTGTGGCGGAGAGGGGGGCGGATTTGATTAGGGGGAGGAAGCCGCTGAAGGTGCGTAGGAATGAGAAGGAGACCGAGGAGGTGGATGAGACGGAAGATGGTACGGAAGCGGGGGTTGATGGGACTGATGATAATGATGGTTCAGGAAATGGTGAACCGAGCGCGAACAGACTGGGTGGTTTTACCTGGGGCTTTCCACGGAGACGGGCTTGATGTGATAAAGCTTCTTATGGAAGATAACCCGATGAATGAACAATTACTTCACTTCTTATGTACCGACAAAAGAGAAAACCTACCCACAATAGGTACACCTCTCCCTACACGCACATACATTCTATCACTATGGCCGCCACAAAAGTCAGCTACAGTCTTCGTAGCTAGGTATTCAAAATTGGTAGAGGGAGAGTCGTCTATTCGATCAGTCTGTCACCAGGGTGTTTCTAAATAATAAATCTTTGAAAGTAGGTGCTTCCAATCTTCGAGTGACATATATGCATTCGCTGCGCCAGTTTTGGTAATTGACAATGATGAGGTGTCCAAGAAGGCTCCGGACGAGGTGAATATTCGCAAAAGCGCTAGATAGGAGAAAAAGAAGTTATATGAGTTTATTTTGGCGCTCAGAATTGTTTCATTGTATCGGAAAAACCCCAAAGACATTGGAAGTGTACGTGCCTGTAGGAAGAAGTATATGTGTGGGTAGGTAGGTTTTCTCCTATAAAAGTAAGGTAGCTTGCTTGTTCTGAAACTAGGTAAACTGCTCGAAGCAACTGTCCGAAGTCTTGGTTGCAAAAAAATCGCATACAAACATCATTCACGTTTCGCATCGGTGATTGTCCAGAAGAACGGAAACCATGAACTTGAAAAAAAGATCATCATTTATCAACGGAACCTTCCTGCTTTCCCTTCTTCCATCCTTGTTTTTCTCCGTAGCACTAGAGGTAGGTACTCGCAACAAAAACAGCTTGGTGCTTTCCCGCCTACCTACTCGTGCCTGTTCGGCCGTCGTCTCGACTTATCCACCCTGCCGTTTTGTTCCATCCGCAACCCCATAAACGTGCGCGACCGACAATGAATTGCTGAATGGGTATTGAATCTCCTTTCCATCCATTCCCCTTTCCTTTTTCCTTCCTCCTCCCTTCCCCTTCCCCTTCCCCTTCCCCCCCCTTTCCTTGAATTCCCTCTTCTTAACCCTTTCCTCCTCAATCAAAATTCCTCGCGGGGTCTCTCTACCGGTTTTTTTTTTTTTTTTTTTTTTTTTTTTTTTTTTTTTTTTTTTTTTGAGAGATCGGGAATCCAGGTCACTCAGTCCGGCAAAACAGTGCTAAAAACGTCTCTTCGCTTCCTCCCATTCCAAACTCTCCGTCCCTTTCAGTTCTTGCTTTGTGGCATTTTCTTGCTGCTTTCTTTCCCGTCGGTTCAGGCCTTTCAGCCATCTCACACTTCGTTCCTCCCAGTCCTTTCACAGCCAGCCAGAAAGAAGTCAACATTTCCCCGGACGAATGTGGAGTGAAACAACAAGAGGTGACGGGGTATGATATGACATGTTATGATGTGGTGACCGAACCAGCGGGGGACAAGTACAGGACCGGATGATGGAAAGGTAAATTGACGAAATTGAGCGAAAAATGCAAATGTGTATTAAGGCGTGCTGAGCTTTGTTGTCATTGTTGTTGCGTGTGTACCGACTGTACTGTACTGTTGAAGACACATCCAACAATGCGTCCGGCGTTGTACGTTGCAACTAAAGTATACCACCATTCATTACCACCAAAAGCCCGATCCAAACCAAAAACATGCACAAGAAACCAACTAGTTTTGAAAGAGCAAAAGCCAGCCACCTGCAGCCAAAACACCTCAAGGAGATGGAAACATCGAACATAAATACCATTTACATTGATTGCATTGCGTGCGTAAGAACCAATTGAATTTGATCCCGTCTCATACGACCTGGTGATACCTAAGATTTGGTGCAAGTGCGGAGAAAATAAAGGAAAATCGCATGGCGTGAATAAAAAGTTTTAAGTAACACAAAAAAACACAAGCTGACGAACGAAAATCCGTCAAAGAAGGTAGTAGTGGTAACCAGGCCTGATATAAAACAGCATGCAAGCAATAAGTCAAAAGAGAAGGGAAACATGAAAAAAGAGATTGAAAGCAAAGTTGATAGAGTAACAAAAAGACGAGAATACCAAAGTGTCCCGGGCCCCCATTTACGAGTCCCTCAAATGACTGGCAAAATGGGTGGTATAAATATCGACCCCGGTTCCAATCCGCCATATCCTGTCCCCATAAGAAAACCTCTAGAATGTCCAGAGAAGCCTTGAAGAGAGATGACGACACAAGAATGTCAACCAATCATGCTGACCCTTCGTGAGCGTTGAATCATTCAAGAAACAACGAATAGATCATATTCTTCGTTCCTCCGTTTTTTTGCGAGCACGTCGCTTCCACCAGAATCATCGCCAACGAGCGAAATTAGAGAAAAAGCGGTAAGTTGTCCCGAAGAGCGTGTAAGGCCGGACGCAATTCAGGGGAAAAAATACCAAGTAATACCCAGAAGCAAGAAGCCAAGCCAGCTCCAAAGCCGCGACTCATCGTCTCCATGAACGCCTCAATGCATGTGTCCATAACGAAATAATGCGCCTGCCGATGCCAGAAACCCCGGCCCGCACGGAGTCAGGGAGAACCAGAAGGTAAGGCGGAATTCTACTCCGTCGTGCCGATCTCGTTGCCATCCAGAAACACGCCGGCATTGAAGTCGAAAGCCTCTCCGCCGTTGTCATTATCATGCAAGAAGGAGTCGAAATCAAAGTCGTTCAGAACATCGTTTGACGTGAGTGGGTTGGCAAACTCAACATCGAAGTTCTGCAGCTTGCTTGTTAGCACCCCCCGCTGGACAGTGAACAAGGGTTCCGGACTTACCATCATTGGCTCGGCGAAATTGTTGTTCTGGGCCGGGTCGGGGTGTGGCGGAGCAGCGACCTGAGGGACAGAGGGCGGCGGCACCGGGGCCGCAGGCTGTCCGTTCTGTACAACCTGGTTTCCTACTTGGTTCTTACCAAAGCTAGCTGGGTTGACTGGGGTAATCGGGGTGGCCGGCGCGGGAGGCTCTTGCGGCTGGTCGGCGTCTGCAGCAGGTGTAGCACCTGCGTTAAGGTTCTGATTGGACTTCTTCTGCGTCGCAGCCTAAACCGGATCAGAATCGCAATTCAACAGAGCGTGAGGGATTGGTTAAAGAGGGGGGATTCCGTACCTTATTCTTAGCATTCTTGGTCTCCTTCTTCTTGGGTGCCGGCTTGTTGCCCTGGTTGGGGGTTGGAGGGGCAGCGTTGGTGACTTGAGGAGATGACGTTGCGTTCCTCGAATTGGCAGCGTTGGTCATCGCTGCCGCCGTTGGGGGAGCAGAAGGAGGAGGCATAGCTCTCTGCTGCGCTGGTCCCTGAGCCTGCTGAGCTTGAGGAGGCTGACCAACCATCTGGCCATTCGGTCCAGGCTGCTGCCATTGCATATTAGGGCCCCCTTGATTTTGCTGCTGTTGGGCCGCCTGTTGCTGCTGCGCTTGTTGGGCTTGTTGCTGTTGTTGTTGCGCCTGCTGCTGAGCCTGCTGTTGCATTTGTGCTTGGCGCTGCTGTTGGGCAGCCACCATCTGTGGGTTCATCTGGCCATTGAAGGGCTGTCCTGGGTGTGAGCTCGGTGGACGCATACCGCCTCCCATCTGATTGCCCATGTTCATGTTCATGCCGTAATGGGGCTGTCCTCCGTTGGGATCCATGTTGCCGGCCATGAAGTTCATGGGATTCGGGGAACTGCGGTTCTGGGCGCCATCCGGAAGAGGGGAACCCATGTTTTGGGGGTTGTTCATTTGCTGGTTGGCACGCTTCATCTGCTCCGAAGGGTTAGGTGATGCTCCATTGCGCTGTCCAGGTGGCGAGTTGCCCTGGAAGCCTTGAGGATTCGGTCCCTGAGGTCCTCCCGGGCCGCCAGGTCCGCCTGGACCGTTGGGGCCTTCAGGTCGTGGCATCCCATCCTGCTCCTGTCGAGCCATCATGAGGCGCTTCTTGTTCTGTTGCTCCAGGAGCATCAGCTGCATCTGGTAGTCCTGAAGGGCGTGGTTACTTGACCCATTCTGACCGTTACCAGGCCCAGCTCGCATGTTTCCGCCGCCCATCTCCTGGTTGTAAAACTGGTTGATGTTCTGGCCATCGGGTCCCTGCGGCAGCATAGGAGAGCCCTGGTTTTGCGGACCACCAGCATTCGCCATCGGGTTGGTGGGCATCTGTTTACCGTGGTGCTGCTGGAGGTTAGCGGCGTACGCTTTGAGCTGATGAGAGTTTGGATTGGCATTGATCAAGGCCTGGAGTTGGTTAGGAGTTAACGAGTTTGGGCGGATTTGGTTGATGAAAAATGCTTGTGCTGAATTGGGGCCACCTCCTACCTGCTGCTGGCCTGGCATGCCTTGCATCTGTCTGCCATTTTGCACCATGACACCCGCGTTGGGGTTGAAGGAGGCCCCCTCGAGACGTGGCCGCTTGGATGGAGACGGCGCGTTGTCTGCCGATCCTGGCGACGCCGCCCTCACTCGGTTTCCGTCCATATCAGAAGGATCTCGCTGCATTTGAGCAGCTTTCTGTGCCTGAAGCATCTGCATGGCTTGGGGACTGGGAAGTGAACAAGGGTCAGTTTTGAACAAACCACATGGAGGAGGGGGTATGGAACCTACTTTTGGCTGTTCGCCATGGCTGCCCGTTGCAGCTGGTTCCCGGGCTTCATCATGCCGCCCATACCATTCATGTTCCTCATCATTTGCTGTTGATATTGGACGTGGGCGTTGTAGTCAGGACGCATTTGCCGCAGCATCTGTTCCTGTCGCATGCGGGACTGGTTCTAGGGTCGCTGTTAGCTAGGGAACGAATTACCATATCAGAGAAGGCAATTCTTACCTGGTTGTGTTGCACGTATTGGTTCACAAGAGCAGGGCCCTTGCTCTTTTGGCTGTTGAACATGTCCCAGAACAGTGAGAACCAGTCGAGCAGAAAGCTGGTGTTGCTTGTCGAAGAATTGGGAATAGCAGCTGGGGGGAGGTCATCGGGACGCTTTTGGTCCAGGTTGTCCTTCGAGTCGGTATCCATGGGATCGTCACCCAGACCATTCAAGTTCTGACCAGGGCTCGCAGATTTGTCCGTCTTGATCTGAGGGTTGTTTTGTAGGATTGTGCGGGCACAGTCGTACATGCCTTGGCGGATGAAGTAGTCGTAGATGTAGGTCTCGAGCAACGCACGGCCGCCATCGATAGTTCCAGTCCCAAACTGCATTTGCTGCTGCTGCTGCTGTTGTTGCTGTTGCGGTTGGGGTTGTGGGGGCTGCTGGGGACGAACAGGCATTGCGCCATTATTCATCATGGGCATAGGGGCGCCGCCAACGGGACCGCCCATGGCGTTCATCTGAGCCATGTTACCTATGTTGTTCATGTTCATGGCTGATGATTTCGTGCAGACGACGGTCTGCCGGGCGAGAAGCGGAATTCGCGGGGGTTGAAAGCAATGAAGTCAGGTCGTGTGTGTAACGACGGGAGCCTGAGAGCATTAAGAAGGGTTAGTTTCTAGGTTCATGTTTTATGAAAGGGTTCGGCGCGGAAGGGCAGAGCTTGCCACCAAGTGCCTACAAATGCCACGGCCGCGCGGTGCGCTTAGACCCGGCAGGCGGTGGACGTGTATCGAGATTGGGGTAAAATGATGGCAAGGTGATTGCCGGGTGACATATCAATGGTGTCGAAAAGGTGATGCGGTGGCAGCAGGAAAATACTCTTTGGCGCCGACACCGACGGCAACGATGACGATGGCACGGCACGCGTTGGGGGGCAGAAGAAGGACAGACAGGGGCAGGCTGGTAAGAGAGTTGTCAAGTACCTTGATACAGGCGGGGGGGCCTGGGGTGTTGGCGCAGCAAGTAGCGTGTCGGTGCCAATTAGACGGATGTTAGACAGGGCGAGAAAAAAGTACGGCTGCCGGGAGGGCGAAATAGTCTAGAAGTATGTTCTAGTTTGAAAGTCGAGTGAGGTGCAGGCGGGAGCAATTGCAGCGACCGAATCGGGGGCTGGGCGACCGCGGTGAGATGTTCCGGGGTTGAAGGTAGTGTGTGGCCGGAGATGGACGTGGGTGGGTGCGGCGATGAATGGTCTGTCTCTGTTTCACGATCCTTTTGCTGGGTGAGCTTCTGCGTGCGTGGTGAGAAAAAGGTCAGAGAGACGAGGCGTTGGGTCGGTTTGGAGAAAAATATATGGGCGTGGATGGTTTTATAAAAGAAGCGATGCAAGGCCGCGGAAACGGGCTTATTATATTTGCATGTAGACTTCTACTGCAAGCCTCAGGTCCGTAGATGTACCGGCGCACTGGCACTCGAGCACGCCAGATGGGAGAACGGGGAGGTTCAAGCAGTAGCGTAGGTAGGTAGGTATGGTACCTTTTGAGATCGCGTTTGACGAGCGATATCTCCGATGTCCCGTTCAAGGCCGATGCTCGGTGTCGAAGGCGAGGTGCAAAGTCGAAGCAGCCGAATCTCCGTCAAGGCTGGATCTTGAAAGATCGCGACGGCGGCGATGGTAGGTGGTGATGGTGCTGCTGCTGAGTTCCAAGAGAATGGTGGGCGTCGGGGAACGGCAAGGCTTCAGTTGCGCGTGGGTGCACTCCCGCTTTCCAAGGATCCAACAGCCTTAGCCTTGGTGCCGATTATTTGCCAGTCGTTCCACCGGAGAATGTGTGGCGGTATATGTGGTGTCGTGGTGTAGAGAGAGTGTGGTCGTGGTCGTAGTCGCCGCCTGGTTGCGAGGAGTGGACGTCGAGGTTAGGGGCAAGGTGGTGGTGATGGTATGGTGATCCGGTCCACGTCGCAACAGGAAAGCGTGCGGTGCCAAGTAGTCGTAGGGATGGAGGAGGAAATGGGGGACGGGGTCCGGCAAGGCACAGTGGACGGTGGTCCTCTTCAGGCTCAGGCGGCGGGCTCTCGCTGGTCTCGGGGCCGGCGACCGTGGTTCCTCTTGTGGGCCAATCCGCTCAATCTCGCTGGTGATCGGGACAAGGGCGATTGGGACATCAAAGTGGCATGCCGCAAAGAGGAGGATTCCCGACACGAAACAAGACGGTCGGAGGAGGCAGAAGAGAAGGAGGAAAATGGGGGACGGGGGTTGGGGTGTTTGGGACTTTTTTTGCCGGCTGCGCTGCCTTCTTCTGCTCAGTGCTCACGCCAAATCGTTTGGAGGGGAAGTGGAAGCAGCCGAGCCAGGAGCCTGGGGGGTGATGGGTGATTGGGGAACCGCGAGTTGGGAGACCGAGCTTCACAAGCCTGCGCAGTCCGGAGCACGCAATCGCACCACCAGTCGTCTTGGCCTGCGTATTTCTCAGACCGTCTCACGTGATGCCTCGTTATTCAGGCATTTCAGGCACTCTTGCAGCTGGAATATGCACCTATGCAGCAAATGACGGCTTGGCGCCCCTGTATCTGCCACCAAATCTGCCTACTTTGGGATATTACGCTTCCACCGTTCTAACCGTGGAATATTCATGAGATGACAGTAGAGTGCGAGAGCCTCAGACATGGCAGCTCAACCAAGGTGTTACAGTGAATATCTGGTTGGATTAAATCTGACAACTTTTCCTTTTCCGGCCTTCATCGACGGTCTTAGTTTGGCGGCACGCTGTCGTTGGTCGTGTGTTTTTGAACCAACTGGACATGCCTGGTGCATGTCGTCAACTCGTACCCTTTCCGAAAGCTCCGGAATCCCCAGGCTTCCAATGTGGCCCCCAGCCATAATCCCAACCCATTCCCTCTGACATGAGTTAACTAGTAGCATGCGCAAGTGAGATGACTAGCAGGTTGCCATCCACATGGCATGCGACGCGAAAGAGTCCATGGCGTTGGACAAGGTGATCAAGACTTTGATGCCACGTTTGGCAGGGATCCGGCACGAAATGGTTGGCAAAGAAGATGTTGGGCACCTCCGACTCTCGTCTCCGGGTTTCTTTTCGCTAGACAGTCATGGCGAGAATTGAAGCCCGACTACTCCGTCTTGGGGAACTCATCGGTGAGATGAATCATTGATTACTTGAGATCACCGGATGGTCATCGAGATCGATTACCGCAGTCACATCTTGTGTGTATTCCCCGAGCTCAGCTGTACCTGATCAGTAAACAGATAGGAGGTTGGACTGCACTGTACGGCAGACAGCCCCGTCCCGATTCTTCCATGATTCCAAAACTTCCATATCTTCGCTCTGTGACACCCGAGGATATGGATCTGCCCAGAATGCATTCAACGCGCATGAAGCTTGGCTGCCGAATAACGTCGATGACTGCGACACATCCTTCAGTATATCGCCAATGCCGAAGGTTTGTCCATCACTTGAGAAATCATGGACTCGTAGTCTATGAGAAGAAGTGTGAATTAACTTCCCTTGCAAGGCGGTGATATCATCTCCCAAGAGGCGACATCGCGATAAGCATTGGCGTTGTGGGCTCCAAATCTCCACAGGGTCTTGCGCGCCGCGCTAACAACAACAGCAGGCGATCTGCCGGGTGTGGCAGATCCAACGCCAACGCCAACAACGGGCGCCAACCCTCAACGGACCCTAACCCGGGGGTGCAGCTGGGGATAATACAAAGAGTGGCCACTGTTGAGTCCGTCACTTTCTCACAAGCCCGATTAATCAATGTGTGATAATTTGACATCAGAGTTCCCACGTGGGCTTCAGCCCATTTCCATATCAAAGCTGTGCAATCGAAACAAAGTGGTACCAGACGCATCGTCGAGATTGCTGCCCTCACGAGCCTCAATAAATCTGTCATGTCGCGATGCGCCGCTGCCGCAGGCAATCTCCAGGGGTCCCGTTAGTGCTGCCTGTCACGGCTTCTGGTCGGTGGGGACCACAGCTTCGGGAGTGCCAAATGGAAGTCTCAGGGTGTCAGGGTTGTGGCTGTCAGACTTTGATCTGCTCGTCAGGGTTGCAGCAGACGGGATGTCAGACCGATTAATACCAACCATTCCTTCTTGGGATTCCCGAAGCATCAATCCTTAACAGAATGTGGTGCTATTCTCACTAACATCTGTTAGCAAACCCAGTAGTCGGGATCATGTACACTCTGATCCTTCGGCCCACCTGTCATCCATCATCCTGCCTCGTTTTCTTCACAGTTCCATTCATTGGCAATCAACCCAGGCGTGCCAGGCAAAGTGTCGTAGGTGGCGAACAACCTATCTCTTTTTTTCTCCCCTTCTCTCGAAATGATAAGCCCTCAGCGCACCACAAGTTAATGCAGCGTCCCTTGCATTAGTTACGACGGAAATACACTACACGCTACAGCCGGGGGCGTCGTCGTGGATTTGCTTGGATCGCGCTGGGGATCTTGCGGCTTGCTTTTCGCAGAAAGCCTCATTGCGGCTCCTGCGTTCCTAAACAGACAAAACTTCAAGAGGTACCGGCATGAAATTTCACACTTCAACCCCCGCCAAATGTCTAGAAATTACACCTAATTCCCAACTCTAGGGAAAATGACGCCAAGTCATGTCATGGACCTTCACTCTAGGAAATGGAGGGGCAAGCAATGCCACAATTACTAAAGGTAAGCGTGAACTGCTGGCACTGCCCTACCGACGGGAGCCACCAGACGAGCCTACCATGGCCGCCATGACATGATCTACGGCGCCATGCAGCAAGCGGTTCTCCTCTCCCGCCCGGTCTTATTCAGCCCAGCGGGCCACCGGGCCAGCGAACAAGCAAGCCCGCGATCCACACAGTTGCAATCTGTTCGCGAAAAGGGAAAGGGAAATTAAAGGAACTGGCGGCTGGCTTGACGCCGTTAGACGCGGCAGAGCGGGAAGGATCAATTGAAAGGACCACAACAAGCGACGTTTGGGAAGGGCGGATGGGCACGGGCCACATCGTTGGCTGCTGTAAGATTACCCCTTCAATCGATGCCCCGAGTTTCACATCTCTTTCCGTTCTACATACCTCATCGATGGCAATCACGCCCGAAAGCGCGGACGCATCTTGATATCGCCCTCAGTTCTCCTCAACACCGCATCACAACCCGAAACAAACTTAACAAACTTCCCGTTCCTTTCCGATTCCGACAATTTTCTCCGAACGAAAAACCAGGGCGGCAGATCGACGACTTTTCCAAGACATCAACCTCGAAAATCTGCAACAAAAGTTCGAGACATTCTTCAGCAAAACTGGATTAAACGAGACAAAAAGACCCCGCGATCGCTGCTGATTACCAACCATACCCTGAAAGATCCCGATCAGCCCCGGCTTGGTTTTGTAGGGTTCATCGGCTGTCGGGCAGGGGTCGCATGTCGCATGGGTAGGAGGGTTAGGGTTTGATGACAATTACCCCTGAATTGGTGACGATGAGGTCGTTCGATGACACGGGAACGACAAAACACGATGAGTGAGAATGTGGGAGTGGATGGTGCTTAACATGTTTTTCCGTCTTCAGATTTATGTTTAATGTGGGTTTTACTCATTCAAAACTTCACAAGGGAAAATCATCGCCGAGTGTCCGCACAGCGTTCTCACCCGCACCTGCCCGGACACAGCATGCCGGACAAAGCAGGGCAGGTACCAACAACAACCAACAACCAACAGGTCAAACACCAATGAATCCTCGCACGCCACCAACATATCATATCACACATATCCAACCAGATACCTTCTATCTCAAATCAGATTTGCCCTTCTGACTACTACCAAGCTAGCATCAATTTCCCCCCTTCCCTTCCTCTCCCACCTTCCAGCTTTCCCCCCTTCCCCACGCTTTTCACCATTCTCATCTACCCACCCATTCCTATTTACACCCACACTCACACCTCTCCCTATTCAACCCCCTCAACTCCTCTACCCTCTCCCTCGGGATCATCTCCTGGTGCAAGTATCGCGTCGACACCCTTTCCCCCTCGCGATCACCGGGCAGGGGGCTCTGGAAGCCCCAGTGGGATTTCACTCCCAATGCCTCGGCTTGACTGATGCGGGAGAGACCCCGTTCGAGTTCTTGGATATTGACCATTGTCAGGTGCTTATCGGACTTCAAATCTTCGGCGCCCGGAGTGGCTTTGTAAATCGGTAACTTCTCAATGAGGCGTGTGATGTGAAAGATCATATCATTGATGAGTCTGCTTTCTTTACGGGATCGCTTCCACTCCTGGAGTCTGGCCTTGTTCGTGGAGGCTTCGGGGTCATCCTCATCTTCGGAATCATCCCGCTCCTCGAGCTCCTCCGTCAGAGTAACAGGGTGCTTCTTAAAATCAGGGTAGACATCAATAGTGAGAATCAGCTGGCAATCCGGCTTGCTTTCTCCGTTGTGTTTGTACTGTGGCGTCGGGGATTTCTGAACGTGAGTGAGGATCGCGGGGTTGGTTTGGAAAGGGAGAGGAAATGCAAAGTCGGAGTTTAGGGGCTTGACATCGGAGTCTGAGTCTTCGGGAAACTCCAGAGGCGTTTTGGGCCAAGATACGAGGCCTGTGCGGTAGAAGCCGTCTTTGTCGATTGCTTTGGAGCCTTTGGTAGGGTTAACCGCGTCTGGGCGGAGGATGTAGATGAAGAAGTGGATTTTGCGGTGCTCTTGCTGTTGGTGGTGAGAGAATTTTCATGTTGTTTCTCGGGATCATTGGGGTTCGGGCCTTGGCAGTCTGTGCAGTGAATGCTCAGAGTGAGGTTGTAAGCTGTAATTCCCCTCCCGCCGTCATTCTTACGGGTTACCTGTCGTTTCGTTAATCACAAACTCACATTGACAGTAAACCTGAGATACTTTGCTTACCACTTTCGAGGAGACGGGCTTGGACTCCTCGGCAGAGGTAGTCTCGTGAGCTTCAGCAGCCAACATGATGGCAGTGGTACGGGTATGTAGGTGTGTGGCTCTTTCCCTCCTGTGTTGCGTTTTTTGCGTATTTCGACGTTGTGCTGTTTCCGGGGAAGGAAGGACCTGCCATGCTCAACACAACCAACGACGGCGCTTGCCAACCGTTATAAAGCAAAAAGCTACGCCCAAGATTGCTCGCCTTGCCGGTTCAGATGGGCTCCCCAGGTGTGCAAATTGGCAAAGATGTTGGTGATTTGACCTCATATGGATACCAACCTAAGAACGGGCGGTTAACTGCCATTGCGTTGGTTCCTACTGATCAAGGTCTCGCAGGGAGCTACTTCGTATTTATCTACAATGGATCAGCCGCAACCAACTATCACTCCCCAACCAACCGTGCTTCTTTCCGTTCCTCAAAGGCCGGTCAGTACCTAGGTACCAACCCCATCGGTTTCATTTTTTTTTCTCGGTATCTGCATCACATGAACTAGCTCGCATCATCCTACCAAACCAAAATCGGCTACACAGTAGAACCATTGAAATCCCGGTCCAGGTCAAACCTTCTACTTCTCACAAAGATCCACAAAAACAAACTTGTTCAACTCCCATCCAGCCTTGTATCCAATTCCACTCCTTTCAAATTCCTTCATCAGATCGATTAGGCGCCCTCGGTTTGACTTGTCATCCATGCGGAAAGGCATCGGATCCCGCTCCATGAACTCCTGGATGATGTCCTGCGCAACCCTACCGTCCCTTCCCTTGATACGACAGAGTTCTCCCCTCAGCTGGAATTTATAGAACAAATTCAGTTGCCGCGTATGCAGGTAGTTGAGCGTATTAAGCCTCCACTGGTAGTCTTCCGCGTTGAGATTCATATCCTTGAGGTAAGACTCGTCAATGTACACCCATCTCGAGTCTCTGGGCTGCTTCCCGTTACGCCAACATGGCTTTGCCGGGTCCCGACATGGAGGGGGGCAGAGAGAGCACAAAGTTTCGAGTGCAAGAGTGTGGCCCGGAAACTTGCCATCCATTCATGTGTTAGCAAGTTTCAAGCAGAGGTTCACGCTGTCTAGGTAGGCAGACTCACCGAGGATGCCAGTGCCGAACTAGGTTTTGAAGCTAACGGCGTGGTAGAGGCAATTTGCCGAGGTTTTTTTCGCCATCCAAATCCCATCTTGTTCTCAAGGGCACGGTAACTTGGGTCTAGCGTCCAGGTGGGTTTGCGCTTCTCTGGTGTCGGTAAGAGGCTGCTTGACTTGTGCTGGGCAATACGGGTCGGCCCAGCGCTGTATTTATGAAGAAAGGTGCTGGTTAAATGCAAAGACACCGGATACTCCCAGGATAAGCGCCATGTTCATCTCTCGAATTCATCAGGTGCACCGGTATGATCTAGCTGTAGTCTTCAGCGCTTGAGTTGCTAGGTTATTAGGTCTGGGGTCAGTGATACAGTGCTGACCTGTCAGTATTTGCAAGGCGAGCGGGATGTTGGTAGAGCAATGCCTTCTGCTTTATTCTGGAATGGATGATGAGTTAAAGGGGAAAGGTCGGCTGATAGAAGCCATCGTATCTCTAGAATTGTGTTGGTTCGAGATGGTGTTGACCGGCGTGAACAAAGCCGGCTGGTTGGGACTGGAGTTGTCTCACCCGTCTGGTCTCTGTCTTCTCATGTTATCCTGATTTTTTTCACTTCTTGCAGGCAGGAACACGAGGAGCGTTGGGTAAACCATTAGCCACAAAGCGAGGGCGTTGAATAACCTCAACGTATTGAACACGCTGACTGCAGCTTGAGTGTCCCTACTGATCAAGCAACACAGTATGGCCATCCAAACAAGCCCTTGGATTTAAAGTCATTGGACGCGAGGTTCGGGTCATCGAACCGTTCAACTTCCATGGTATTCAATCACGGCTCAGCGGCATTGCTTCTGCTTTGCTATCTGCTTGAGACAATCTGACCAAGTTCCAGCTCAATTTAAGTTATTGCATTCAGCAAGACCGGCGCTACACAAAGCTACTCAGAGGAGTCCTTCAGAAAGGAACACCTAAGAACATGGGAAGAAGGGAAGAAAGAAACAGTGAAAAATGCAGTAAGGAAATGGAAACCACGCCACTGGTGTGAAAGACATTGTACCAGTTCTGGGTAAGGTAGAGGTAGGTAATCATGAAAACATATCATGGTCCCGGTTTTTCGCTCTTGGTCAACTCCTCCACTCGAGGGTCATCCTCCTTCACCGGCTCCAAAGTAGGATTTCCACCTGCTATGTCATCCATCAAGACCCCCAAATCAAGTGACCGTGGGCCAACCCAAACCTCAGACTTCGCTGTCATTGCGTGCTGCAAAATCACGCCTTGGGCCCAGGACTCGCCACCGGTACCTGCGCACAAACCGACCTTCACCTCAAATAGAGGTGGTCGATCGTTCTCGGCCCCCTTCTCGGCCGCCTTCTCGGCCCCCTTCTCGGCCGCCTTCTCGGCCCCCTTCTCGGCTTCCTTCCCGGCCAACTTCTCGGCTTCCTTCTTGCTAATGGGCTCGACTAGGTGTTTCCCCCAGCCATCACGATGTTCCACGAGGGCATCAGAGTAAATGTGCGCGTTTTCGATACGGAAGTCCTTGATCATTTGCTGGCACCCATGGTCGGCCTTAGTGGTTGTGCAAGTAACCATAATGCGCAAATTGTGAAGCTCGGGAACTGGACCCTGCTTATACGATCTATCAGCGCTGAGATGAGGAGATGGCGGAGTCATGACGAGCAACTTACCCTCGAAAGTTTGCATCCCATGATGTCTTGAATAAATGGTAGGGGAAAGGATGAGTTTGGATAATGTTTGTCGTCCTCTCGTGCTAGTGGAGATCGGCTTGTGTTTTCCCGCCGTCGAATTCGTCGTCTTGTGATGCTCAGGATGATAATTATGATGTGGAATACTAAGGTAAATCGTCGAGGACGTACCAAGTCAAGCATTATAAGCCAACTAGTGGGATATTAACCAACCTGCTCTCCGTGCCCGGTTTCGCCGTTTGAATTTTAGCGGGGGCATTGCTCCAACAGATCATTCGGCGGAGTGGTGCCGTTGTCGGTGAGGCTGGCGTGTACCAACAATGGACGACCGGCGAGTGACTACATATAATGTAGATGTTTTCCCTTGTTGCTGCCAAGTGACAAAGCACCCTATGGTATCGCTTAAGCGCTGACCTAACAGACTGTTGGGTGTAGCGAGGAATGAACAAAAAGAGTCGGACTTGATGAGTCGATTCCTGGCCTTTGACAGGTCGTCGGGCGTGCAGCCTGTTGGGAACCACATCTTTTTCGGAAAAACAGCAGGTGACTGTGGTCTTTGATGACAAAATCCCTGGTGAGTGTAACTGTCTGGTTGCTCAGACTCCCATGTTTGCAGGTTCGAGAACATGAGATAGTTTTAGGGCGAATTTCAGGTACAGGCACGTTGGGGGTAGTGGCATAGAGTTGCGTTACATATCTGCTTCCTCCATGCGGACCATGACAGCCATGTTGGATTTTCTGATACTTGCACACAAAAATGCCTTCTCTCATCAAAATCCGCCGTAGAGCCCAATTTCCTGTTATTCCGTTTAGATCCTTGAAAAAAACCTTCTGAACTGAAGTGAAAACCCAGAATAACCAAGTATGCCATTCATCCTCCGAGTTACCATACATGACTAGCGGTGCCTCACGTCCGGCGCAAGGCTCGCACAAGGGAAGCATCTCAGGGCCGAATCATACCTCTAAATCGAAATAAAAGAGATGTGTATCGGACTCATGTTTCCCGCGGGAGACTTTCGGGACTTTCATCTTCACTTCCTTGTACACCTTGAAAGGATTTAGATGGCCTGTCTCGCGCGCCTCGCCTGTTTCCATTGCCTTACGGACAATAACCTCGGCGGGAGCCAATCTTTTTCCTGGGAGGCAGAATCTACCCCGAAACTCAACTTTTCCCACACCTCCACATGATTCGCGGATGTAGCAAGTGTAGTTCCCCAACGCTTTTAGGCCCTCCTCTTCGCAAAGTGGGATGAAATCGACCATCTTGCACAAAAACACCTTTGGAAGCATCCAATCGCAAGGTTTCTCTGCGTTATTGTTCGCACAGGTGTTGCAGAGAATGCGTACGTATAGGGTGTAAGACAGCGTTCCATCGATCTTGGTGTCAGAAGGTTGATCAGGGGCATTCTACAGGTATGCTCAATGTTAGCGTACTTAGATAACAATGATTTGAGGGAGGTGACTTGCCTCCTCCACAGACGTTGAGTGACCGCAATCCATTGTGGCTTCGCAGCAAAAGTGCTATGTTGGATGGTCGAGATAAACTTTCGTTCAGAGCCTGTGACCCCACAGCTTGGAACCGGAGTTGTTCGTCAATGAAGTGTACTGGTTTGATCTCCACAAGTAGACCGATGAGAGCGCACCGGGTCATTATAACCAGGGGTAGCCAACAGACTGCTGTTCATAATTGCACTCCTAACTTGTTGCATCAGAAGAACGTCTTCGTTGGCAGTTTTAGCGCGTATATGTTGAAGGACGGGCGAGTGACTAGGTACCTTGTTAGTGATCAGGTGCTTGGAGATCGCCATATGCGTTTTTCTACTTTATTTCACGTTAGCACCGTATGGAAGATGTTTTGTCTCCTTGCTTTGCCTGGAGAACGGTTGGTACCGTATTGTTTAAGCGCTGACCTAACGGGTTGTTGGGTGTAGCGTTGAATCAAGAAAGAAAAATTGCTGCCTTGAGGCGGAGCACAAGGGGTGTGTGGCTCGTTGGATCTTGGTTTGCCTTGAGCTATAATGACAGCGGCACGCATAACTGATAACGACGACCCATAAAGTTTGACGCTGGATTGATCCCAAGTGATTGAGTCTCGAACCCGATAAGGAATGCCTTCCATGTAGAATTGTTTTCTCAATCATGCTTCTGTACCGGCCTTTCGCTTGTATCCTGGAGGGCCGGAATTGGTCGAGAGATCTAATCTGGAGCTCAAATGATCGATTTAACAGATAATGTCGTAGAAGCAAAAACAGCTACTGAACATAGATCAAAGTTGTCCATGGAAAGTTTATTGGTGGAGCCATCGTGGATGATATAGAAGATTGAATTGTTGGGAAGTTGGCAAGGACTGCTTGGCGTACTTGCACATGCAGCGCAAATACAGGATCGTACCTCCCCTTGAATTACGTTCCCGGACTCAACCGCCTGTGCAGTCTTGGCGGGAGGGTGCAAGTGGCTTTCTTTGATGTCCGGGTGTTGGGATCACGACAGTGACGGAGGTTCATGAGGAAGAAAAGGACGAATGCATTCCACTACGCACTATGATGAGCCTTGAGTAGGCCTAGCATGACGTTTTTCAGTGATGACCCATTGTGCGTTTACATGAACCGAGACGAGAATCCTTCCTAAGAAAAAAGAGGAAGAAAGAGAAAACCCCGAGATACACTCCACTGCTATCCTTCAACCTCCGCCTGTCCCGCCCTTGCGTCCAGCACAAAACATGGCCATACAAGTGCGCCTATCGCTAAACATACTTGAGAGTGAAGCGAATCAGACCCTCCGCAGTAGTATGGTCTTCGATGTCAAAGTCGACACCGAGTTCTAGCTGCTCAAGACCACCGACAAAAGACAAAAAATTCTTTTTATGAACGGGATCAGTGCCTCCCAAAAAGCCCGTGATGAAATTGAATAAACCTTCTCTCGACTTTCTCGCCTCACAAGAGTCCCAAAGCAGCTCAATTACTCTGTTCTCTTCTTTGACACTCTCGAGATACTTCTTCAAAGCCGTCCAACCTGCCGATTTCGGACCACCTTGCTGCGCCAAAGATTGTAGACTCCCTCTGTGAATAAGAGCAGTCAGGCCCTTCATCCATTTGGTATGTGGCAGTTCCCAATACTCGGTATTTGGTTGAGCCTTGTTACAGTGGGTGCACCGGGCTCGCACGAGTGCATTGTATAGGATTATCGCGGTTGTGGGATCCACGGAAGGTCTCTGGAATTGGAAAGCCGGATGTACTGGGATTTCAGGAATGAGTTCAGAGTTATCCACCACTTCGCGTTTGTTCCTCTGTAGGATCATTATTGTTAGCGAGGCCACCTTGGAGAATGTGACTGGAAAATGAATAACCTTTAATTTATGTAAGAAGGGCATTGTAGGTGGCTAGGTAAGGTAGTCTCGCTAGTGGTATCTTCGTAGACAAAATATGTCCTTTATCTCGGGTCTTGTTTCTCTTCGATTCTGAATCAGAACTGTGGGTGTATGGGATGACCGGATGAGTTGAAGCAAAACCGGTGAGAGCGCAGTGGCTCATTATAATCCCACAGGCGGTCGAACTCGCTGCTCGCCATGTTCGCATTCACTGCTCCAGCCGCGCTCATGTGAACTGCTCCAACATATTATTTTGGTGTGAGGTTGGTGTTGTTGGCAATATCGGCGCATACGGTTGACGATCATGTTGGTGATTGAAAAGTTGGGGAGCGCCAACGACATTTTTCTACTTGGTCTTTTGTAGCTTCGTGTAGTAGAGCGTTGGGCCAAACCAAGTCGTGAGAGGGACAAAGAAACCGTTCTTGGGTACTTCTGTGTACCTATGTAACCGCCCGGACTCGGTTCCGACTGGAAGCGGCAAATGGGTTTCTTTGATGTCTGGTACTTGGGACGGGAGTCGGGCCTCGAGCTGGGCTCGGAGATGCTGCCTCTGCCTACCCCTAGAGGTACACATCAGGCTTAGAGTTCGGTAATGAAGCTGTTCATTCGTTCCTTCACCACATTCTCCAAATCTCCCAAGTCAGTCGTAAATAGGTATCACAGAACTCGCTCGACCGTCCTTCAGTATATCATGGATTTCGCAAAGAGGGTGGGGGATAGGCGCTTCGTGCCCTCACGAGTAGCATCCTCAGGCCCCCTTGCTCAGATCCGCTCAGCTGGCAGATATTGCCTCTCACCATAACGCGAGGATCTTCTTCTGTCTGAACTTTGCTAAGAAATCCCACAAATGCTACTAGTTGCCACGAATCATAAGGGGCTGCTTCAATCTCCTGCTTCTATTTCCACTAGACCATCCCCTTGTACCATCATAACTTGATAGCTAGATCTTCGTCCTAAGCCCAGAAACCAAAAGAAAGAAGACATAGGAAAAAGGAAGAGAAGGGAGACCATAATCAAGATGAAAACAAGACATCGCGCTAGCTTCGTGAAGTGTAGATGTCCTAAAAGACACCCACATTGTTGACCGCAAGTAGCCATCGATCGTCAGCATCCTCAGCATCACCGGCATCATCTTCCTCCGGCCACAGAGTTGGATGAATGTTTTCCAATTTAAGCCCCTTCATTAGCTTAGAAATATCCCTTGATTGTGTTCCATCCTGCTGGGTTTCAACATTCTTGACAAAGTCGTCAAGGAGTGCCTTGGCAGGAGTGAAGTCGCCATCCTTCTTGTCGCACAAATCGATGCACAGTTCAACATATGGTTCAACTGGACTATCGGCGTTCTTGGCAAGGTGCGCGGCTAAGTATTTTCCCCAGCCATGACGATGTTTCTCGAGGTCCTTCTCGTAGATGTGCGCCTTGTGCTTGTCAACACCAAAGCGTCCCCAGGAACTTGTATATTTTTTACACGGGTCACTACATTTATGGCCGTTTCGACAACTAAGTGTGACCCACAAGTAGTGACGCTTTAGCTGTCAGCAGTGAACTTGTTAACAAAGTCGGGACATTTACAGTGAACAACTTACTTTCTGTGGTGTCGACGCACCGCACCCCATGATGTCTCTAGTTGGACGATGGTAGTCGCAAGGATGAGTGCTCTCGTGCTTATGGCCTCGCGTGTCAGAGGGAGTTGGCTCGTGATGTGTCTTGCCGGTCGAGTATCTTGCCGGTCGAGCTTTTAGTCCTGGTGATTCTCGAAGCTGTGAAGTTGACCTTGATGCGAACCCGGTGAGGGCATATCAGGTCCGTTATAAACTAACCAGCTGATAACTGCACTGCTCGCCATGCCCCTCCCCATTGTTCCAATTCCGTGGAAGGCTCCAACGAACTGGTCAAATTAGGGGTGCCGTTGTTGCTGATGCCGGCGCATAGGTACGGATATTGAAAGAGGGCGAGTAACTGCTCGTCAGACTGCTCACTGATTCTGAGTGCATGGTTTCAGCCGTCCTGCGTTCTGTCGTGAGGATAGCGTTGTTGGTGACTTCGGTACATGTCGATACTGAAAGACGGGTGTGCAATCGCCATCGCGTTGGTTGTGTGTTGGTACTCGAAACCGAGCAAAGCGCTAACTATATTTTTCTACTTCTCCTCCGCTCTCTTTTATGGGGGTGTTATATAACATGGCGTTGGCGAGGACAGTAGCGGATGGTGGGAAAGGTGAGGTCGCGAGACGGACGAAGGAACCCTCTTCGAGTAAGCGCCCGGACTCGTGGTTCTGACAGCGACTAGAAACGGTACCTGGCTTTCTTTGACGCGGTGGTACTCAACCGTTAAATATGTGCCGATGCGGTCACTTGAGCCGCATCTAATTGAACTACCGATGACAGGGGCTAAGATCTGTCAGATAAAGATCTGACGTAGGGGGCTGCCGTTGACCGAGATTCGGAGAGTTCGCATACATGATGGTTGACATGATACACGCCGAAGCTATGAGACAAGGTCAGTCACTAACGTTTTCATTGTCCATTGAAAGAATTTGGGGCGATGATGGAACTTTCCAAAGCGGTTGGCGGGTAGTTGGTTGTTGGTGTGCTTGTGGTTGGTGGTTTGCGGTCCATTTTTGGCACACCCCCTTTCCAGTCCTATCGATCTATACACGGTAAGACAGTCCCAACACGTAGCCCACGATGCTCCTACTGTAGTCGAATAGTCTGGGCACCGCTATATCGCTTGATTTGGGGCCAGTGGTTCGTGTTCAAGGGTGATGCGAGCTGGGCCTGGAAGAAGAGGTATATGTATCGCTATCATTTGTAAACATTATAAGCCATTGCCTGATTTCGCTCGGGATTGGCGACTGAACGGACGCCCCAATTCCATCCTTCTAGAGCATGATACGCTCGTATATTAATGCTCATATCCTTCTTTTATCATGGTTGTTGAATGTGTTCCCCATATTCCTCATTCACGTCCCGATCCGCAGCTTAATGGTTGGTTTGTGGAACCGAATGGGAGACTCCTGTGGACCGAGCTCCATATCCTCGAAGATATCCTCTCGTGGGGGCAGGATTTGTCCATCGGTCATCCCAGGTAGTTCCTGCTTCTCATCCGTCTCGTCTCCTTGTTTAGTGCAGGTCTCCGTCAGGGACGTCAGGAAAGACAAAAGAGCCTCTGCCGTTACTTCGTCTGACTTCGCCGTGTCAACGCTTTTGGGCAAGATTTCGTGAGTGTCGACCTCCTCATCTACTTCTGTGCTCGCATCCTCATGGACCAACTCCTAGTTGTTGTTCGATTGTACGCTCTCCTAGTCGTCCTCGGGAGGAAGCTCATCGTCGATATAGCGTACGAGAGTGACGCGCATCTCGGTCGTATCGTTGCCCCTGAGCACGTCGCTGATGAAGTGGGTCTCGACTTGCATTTGTACCATTTCGAGAGCGCCTCGTAGTACACCGCAGAGGATATTCGAGAACCAGAGCTGTTCTTGAGCCCGGCCGTCATCGGGAAGTTCGACAAAGTCGGCGAGAGGGTTTTCGTCGAAAACGAGGGAGAATTGCTTGTTGTCGCTCGTCCAGTTTGTGATTGTCGGGGTGACGTTGAGGAATATCTTGAATCCGACCTGTGGCACGTAGTGTTAGCGATAGGCAATGTGATCTTGACAACAGTGAGGACTTGCCTTAGCGATCATCTCTGCGGTTTCACGAAAGTTGGAGCACCGGCGCATCGTGTTAGACTTGGCCAGGTAGTCCTCGATCAGACGGAGACCAATGTTATATCCCATCTTATCCAGCTGCTTGTTGACTTCGGCATAGTCATTCTCGAAGTCCTTGCATATCTGCGCAACTATGGTTCCGTACGTGAGGACGACTAGTTCGGCGTTAACTTTTTCGATCCTCGTCCTGCCTGGCAGTTAGCACTGCGAGGGCATCTTGTTGCCGAGGGGTCAGGGGCGATCATACTTCCAGATCCTGTGGAGTAACAACCAGCCGTTAGCAAACAAGAACAAAGACGTCTACTGTACCCTGACTTACTCTTCCCCTAGACGGGATGCTTTGCTTGCTGACATTGTGAACGCTGGGGGTTAGAAGCTCGGGGAGCCTCTATAGGACTAGATCGTTCTCATAAAACAATACGAGTCAAGTGGGGGTAATCGGTAGGCAGATCCGTCCGTTGGAAGAGTTGGTAACGAAAGACAAAATGATGAGCGATGATGTTGTTTTGAGGCGGTGGGATTGTGCCGCGAGATGGAAGACGGGATGGAACTTGGGGACCTCGATGGAAGCTGGAGTGGAAGCCGCGGGCGACTGCCCCGCTGACAGTGATCTGGCTGCGCCGGGGCAGGCACCACAGGCACTGGAGCTTTGGGCAATCGCAAGGGTTCGACAGCGGGAGCTGGGGCCCCACCCATCATCGTAGATCCACCCGTTCAGCCTTCTAGCCTGATCAGGCTTAGCCTTACAGCGGCTCCAGGTGTCGCAGCAGGGAACTGACGTGAAGTCAAAATCCCCAACTCGCGACGGAGAGCGGGCAATCAAAAATCCACTTGACGTATCGCCAACTCCAATTGCTCCTCTGACATCAACTTGTCTGTCATAACCATTCCGACTATTGTACGACACCCTCGAATACCATACTTCCGACCCGTCAGCCATGTCCGCCGAAAAGAGACCTGCTTCCGATGACCCCAGCAGGGGTCAGCTCGTCAAGAGACCCAACCTGGGCTCGAGTCGCGCCCTCACGAGGACCAGCGCGACTGGTGACAGCGGTGCCCTTATTCAGACAGCTCCCCGTACGAGCAGCCTCCAGGCTCCGGTAATGGAGCTGTCCGGCCACTCGGGCGAGATCTTTGCGGCCAAGTTCGACCCTACTGGCAACCTCATAGCTTCCGGTTCCATGGACCGGTCGATTAGTACGTCCAACTTACATCAGCTCTGGCCATTGACAGTTGGGTACAGCTACTAACAACGGCCTTACTACAGTGCTCTGGAGAACCTACGGCGACTGCGAAAACTACGGCATCCTCAACGGCCACAAGGGTGCCATCCTCGACCTCCAATGGTCGCGCGACTCCGAGATCCTCTTCTCCGCCTCCGCCGACATGCACCTCGCCAGCTGGGACCTCACATCAGGCACAAGGATACGGCGCTACGTCGGACACGAAGAAATCGTCAACTCGCTCGATATCTCCAGACGCGGCGAGGACCTACTCATCAGCGGTAGCGACGACGGGACGATTGGCATCTGGGACCCGCGAACCAAGAACGCCGCCGACTACATCGAGACCGACTTCCCCATAACTGCCGTGGCCATCTCGGAGGCCGGTAACGAGATCTACTCCGGAGGAATCGACAACGATATCAAGGTGTGGGACGTGAGGAAGAAGGCGGTCGTATACTCGATGATCGGACACCAAGATACTGTCACCACATTGCGAGTGTCGCCGGATTCGCAACAACTTCTCTCGTACGCCATGGATTCGACAGCGAGGACATGGGATATCAGGCCGTTTGCTCCTGCGGATAGGCACATTCGCACGTTTGATGGCGCGCCGCTTGGTATGGAGCAGAACCTCATCAAGGGAAGCTGGGATAAGGATGGCAAGAAGATCGCCGTGGGTGCTGGTGATGGTACCGTGGTTATCTGGGGTAGTGACACTGGCAAGCTTTTGTACAAGCTGCCGGGTCACAAGGGAACGGTCAATGTGGCGGAGTTTTCTCCGGGCACTGACCCTCTCAGTAAGTTCATTGTTGTCTGGTTATCATTTGCAGTCACTAACCTGGTTATAGTTCTTTCTGCGTCGTCCGATAGGACCATGCTGCTCGGCGAGCTGAAGTGAGGAACGAACATGTGCATGGGGGTTTCAGCGAGCTCACAAGGCTCTCCACAGCGAGCAGTTACGGCCAAGGTTCAGCCGTGCCCCTAGGAATTCTATCATCCGGGCAGTCCAAGGCAACAATCAGCGTATGCTGTAAAAGTGCGCAAGTCATGGCCCAAAACTGTCTGCTGGCAGGGTATATCGGACTGAGCCGGGTAACTGGAGGGGAAGAGTCTGTATTTGGATAAGGGTACGACGCTGGTGGTTCAGCGCACCCGGTAATGTCACAAAAGGAACAGGTCGACGGACGCATGGCGTAAGGTGTTATTTACAAGGTGCATTCATTCACAACTAGATACCCAGCCTGAATGGAACTCGAAGAATCAAGACTTGAGCCGGTGGGTATAAAGCATTGCTCATCAAAGAGTCCTTTTTCGTGGGAGACAACAGAGGGCCGAATCACCTGGCAATGTGAGATTGTCGCCATCGTTGACATTAATCAACCCGAGGGGCGGCGAGGTCTACGGGAGCGCAAGTACTACACTTTTTGATCACAACCAATGCCGCCATCTACATCCTCTCATCAACTTCCCTCGGTTCACCGCGCCGATACCAACCCATATATAAACCCAACTACTAGAACCACCCATCTTCCATCGCCCATGTTTTAGCCCCCAAGGCTCTCAGTCTGCCCATCAACCAATCTGAAACGGCCCTTGGCAATCCCCATGATGCGCCTGAAACGCCTCACAGCCCTGACGGTCGGGCCCAAGCTTGGCCTCATGGAGGCTTCTCAGCCAATCATTTGCCGCTCCGCTTACCCCTTTCTGACGCTTTCAGGGGTTCTTCATTGGATGGTCTTGGCTTACAGAGGTTGAGAGAAGTCGAGAAGTCGCAACAAATCATTTTGAGGAGAGGGGAGGGATGTCAAACTGGTGGGTGTGAATGGCAGCTGCAGATGTACGCTGTAAGGTACCGTTTCTGCTGTTGTGATGCACATGCAGCACCATTTTATCACGATTCTTGACAGAACTTCAACTTCCAATGAACGCTCTCAACACGCTTCCCGAATACTTGGTTGGTTTATACGTCTTCTTCAGCTCGACCTGTCGTACAACCCAAGCCAACCCTTGAGGTCCAGTCCAGGGACTCGGAAACTGATACAAAGCTTATTGTCCCTCGAGACCATCCGTCCGTCGACCATCCCGTCAACCATGGTTCCATGAGGCCCTGGGAATGGTCCATGCAAGGGGAAGGCGTCACATCCGCTTCCACTTTTTACCCTACTGCTTTGCCTCTCTTGTCCTCCTCCTCCTAAAAAGCTTTCACTCAACAGTTGATTCGATCAGCGCGATCGCCCTCTTCTTCTTGTGCCTTTTTATATGTTCCTTACCCCTGCATGAGCTGGCCCGTCACCTTTCCGTTTCGTCATACCCAAAAGCCTGTCATCCATAGGCCGTTAAGCACAGCCTTGTAATCGGTTCTGTGATCCGTCCCACACCCACATGGGAATGGGGCCCACGAGTGTCGTTGTTTCTATCCCTCGTGAAACAAAGCACATGGTTCGCTGTCGAAGATTGTCCGGATTTGGATTTGGGTCTTAGTGTGTTTACCACGTCAACTGTCCGGTCGTCGACATCCGCCCACTCTCTTCCTCTCTTGTGTTTTTTCCCGAGTCACTTCCTTGACGTTGTGCAACCCACACCACCCAGTCATCGGGCTGGTCACACAAAGCTGTCAACCTAGCTGGCTAGGATAGGAGCTTTCACAGCTGTCACACACCACACACTCTTTTTAGTCCAGCTATACCCCATACCCCAGGTTCCCGTACCGTCACCTCCCTCACGGGCCGCCTTCTTTGCTCGTTTCAACTTTTCTCTACCTACTCTCTGCTCTCCTTTCATTCTTCCTCCATTCTCTTCCTACCTTACTCACGTCGCCTTCGTGCTTCGAAAAAAAAAAAAAGTGCAGTGTTGCTATTCACTCCCTTGGTAGCACCGAAATCAATCACCAAGCTTACTGCCTTACCTTACCTTATCATTCCCTTCATCTTTCGAATCTGGAATTCGAAAAGAGACCTTTGGCAACATCCACTTCTTCATTGGAATTTTGGATATCCGTGCGACGACGACGAAGCGACAAAGAGAGACGAAATACAGGCCTGGAGCCGGAGATTTTTTGTTTAAGTGATACCCAGAGAGATAGGCGGAGAGTTTTGTTTAGACAACGACGATACGAGGTTACGGACCACACGAACAGACACGATTACAGCATGAACCGGGAGTAACGCGCACGATCCTTACCTTACCTATCTTACCTACTTGACGAACCAGCTCAGGCCAGCTAGAGCCCAACTCATCAGCACTCACCCGTTCATTCACCATCGCGACAACTTTAACCGCGCCACACTCACCACTTACCTTACCCAATCCACTGAGATCCAAAATGGACCGCTTCAACTTCCTCCCTCAAGGTCTCCGGCGGAACAACCCTGCCGACAGCGCCGCCAACGCCGCGGCTGCTTCCACAGCCCCAACAGGCACAACCGACCACCCCCAAACTCAACCGCAACCAGCCCCCCTCCCAGCAGTCTACAACCGAAACCAAAACCCCTACACCTACTCCGACTCCGTCTCCTCTTTATCCTCTGACGACGAGTATGAGAACGAAGATCTCTACGAAGACGAAGTTTACTCCGTTTCTTCACGGTCCTCTCGTGATTCCGTTGCTCCGAGGAGTAGGCAACAGCAGCGAGGGGGACAACCAAATTATCCGTCTAGCAGCACTCTCAACCGCTCCCACGATAACATGGGAAACAGCATGGGAAACAACAACCAAGACGACCTCTACTGCGACCTCGAAGCCCAACTAGGCATCCACCCCGCCCTTCGCATCCCACCCGGTCCCGGTCCCGGTCCCGGAGTTGGGCCAGGAGCAGGAAACGGTGTCCCAGCTAACTTCCCCCCACCACCTCCCATCCCCCAAGAAGAAATGACTGAGGTTGAACGCCGCTCCTCCTCGCGCTTCTTTCTTCCTAGGATGTCCTTCCGCTTTTTAGGGGGCGGTAGGCCTCGGCCGGCCAGCAGTCATTACTCCGGTGATGGTCTGCCTCCTGCTACGGAGGTTAACTTCCCTGTATCCCCCAAGTCACCGGCCTTTAGGATTGGTGAGCAGCAGTTGCCGAGTACGCGGTTGCATGTCCCTGGTGTGGAGAGGACTTGGAGTAGGGGGAGTAATGGGCCGCCTACGAGGGATGGATCTTCCCAAGGAAGGGGGAACGGGAGGACGGTGCGAGTAACTGAGCCCAGGAGGACAGCTACGAGACGGCATCGGAGTGAGAGGGATGGGGAGCGTAGTGAGCGTCGTAGGGAGGGTAGTGGCAGGTCGAGGTCCGGTCGTTCTGGCTCGGGAGCTGGGACTGGATCGGGTTCTGGTTCGAGACATGCCGCCTCTGGTCATCGGAGTCGGAGTCATCGCTCGAGGAGAGATCCCGGCCGGTCGACGACGACAGGGGGACATAGGGATGCGCGTGATGAGGAGAGGAGGCGGAGGAGGAAAAAGAAGAGTAGTAGCTCGAGACGGCAGGAAGGTTCCGGATCGGGATCGGGATCGCATTCGAGGTCGGCGACGACGACCACCTCCGGCGGAGGAGGGTCCTCGGAACGGAGGAGGAAAAGAGCACCCCCGCCGAAACACTTCCTCTTCTGCTTCCCGTGGGTGAAGTCGCGGACGAAGCGGATGCTTATTCTGCGGTCTTTTGTTTCGGGGATGTTTCTGGCTTGTTTGCTCATCGTCTGTAAGTTCCTCTTTCTCTCCCCTCTCCCTTACCATTTGATGTTTGAGTCCAACCATGCTAACAATTTCCAGACCTCGCCCTCGCCGTCACCCACACCGTCGACGGCAGCGAATTCACCATCGCCATGATCCTCGTCGTCGTCTTGGGAGCCATCGTCTTCTGCCACAGTGTCGTCCGCCTCATAATGCTGGCATTCAAAGGCGGACGCAGCAAGCGCGGAGACTTGGAAAGTGGTCAGGCCCATCACGGACTGGATATCCATGCGCCCGCAGGGCCATACGCCATCCCACCTACACCGATCCGCGTCGTGTTGGCGCGTGATGAGGAGGCTGCTGGCATTCCAAGTGATGCGGCTGTGTCGAAACCGCCCGAGTATGGACAGTGGCGGGAGTCTGTGGTGAGTTTGGCTCCTTTTTCGTTCGTTCTGTTTTCCAAACAGATTGCTGACATTTTCCAAAATTTCCAGAGAGTCGATCCCAACCGCATCTACTGGATGCGCAACGAGGCAGTCACTCCCGCGCTTCCAAACGAGGAGCAAGCCGGTTCGGAGGGCGCCCGGTCCAGGGCTGGCAGCAGAGACGGCCCAGCTACAAACCCGGGAACCCTCCGCCGGCCTCCGTCGTACAGCTCCGATGATGGTGTTAGCTATGTGGTTGAGGCGCAACCGCGATCCATCGCACCGGCCACTGATGTACCACCGACCGGCGGCAGGGCTGGAAGGCGGTTGGCATGAGGAAACATGTAAAAACAAAAGATTCGGATTAGGGTTGGATATGTGATTTAGGCAAGTGTTGGCGTTGTATGAGAAACGATTACATGCTCCAACGAGTTCCAGGTCATTCATGGAGGTGTTGGTGAAGCCTCGACTTGGTAAACATGTCCATCGCAAACCGCGAGTGCTCACGATGTTGATAGAAGTCTGTGATTGGTTGCTTCCGCTTGCTCGGTCGTATTATGTAAGCTGGCCGTACACTTGTCGCGGCAACAATACCCCAAAGGCATGGTGGTGGTTGCCTCAGGCGCTGCTTTGCGAGTCATTTCCCACTTGGTAGGACTTCCCATATGCCTCCCCCATCGAATTCCGTAGGAAGGATCCCGTAGTATCTTTGGCGGATTCATTACCAATCGCCCTGTGACCGCGGCGCCCTGCATGTCGGTTACACAGCTGAGCTTAATATCACAGACAAGACTGACAGGGATGGTTTCCCCAGCTGTCCAGGACCTGCAGCGGGGGGTGGTCGTACGGGGACGGAATGGTGGCCCATGTGAATGTTTGCGAGTAAAGAGTAAATATGACACTGCCGTGGGTAAGATGCTGTGCCTATCTTGAGAGGGCTCACTGCTGATTTTGTCCAAATATTTCCCAGGGCTCTAGCGGAAAAGGGAAGCTTCCGTGTCAGATGTCGCAATGGGCGCGTGGGTGCCATATGATGAGACGGAGTGATGGGGCTTGGCATGTTCCTGCGATTGTGCCGTACGTACCAGAAAGAGGGGGGTCTAGCGAACAGAGGCAGAAGGAACGATGTGGGGGTGAGCGGACGAGTGCGTGCGGGCAGAGTGGAGCTTGCCAAGAACTCATCGAGTTTTTTTAGCGTGTGGTTTATCTGACTGTTTCGTCGTCTGGAACGGAAAGAGCATGATTACCCGTGATGATGATGATGGTGCTTGGGGGACGTGCTTGTGAATTTGGTTGTGATGGCAGTCATGGCTGAGAGTTTCTCTCTCTCGATACTCAACTCATCATCTGAAGAGACAGCAAAAAGAGTTGGACGGGACAGGACAGGATATAGGAAATTACTGAGCATTAAGCTGAAAGATAAAAGCAAGTAAGTGGAAAGCGATAGGTAGAGCGTCAGGTCCACTCATCTCTCCGAGTCGTCAACCACAGTTATTTTAGTCATCATGAACAAGCCCACACCCACGGGCACTTGGGGGGGTGGGTAACGGGGGGCATCGGAAACGACCGTACATACTCCACTTTTATTTATGAAAAAGTACCGGCCGTACCCGTTGTGTAATTACCGTAATTTACAGACATATGACCAACATATAACTAATATATGTTCGATTCATAAGATATTCACACGCGGGGGCCTCTCACCGGCCCCCTGCACCCCCGGAGCTAACCCTAACCCTAACTAACCCTAACTAACCCTGACTAACCCTAAACTAACCCTAACACTAACCTCTAAATCCGCGCGCGAAATGAAGATTTCGGTAATTTACGGTCTGTCCAGAAAAGGTACTAAAAGCTACCTGTCACGTGATAAGACCCTCTTTTTGTGATGCCCCCCGTGACAGTACCCGCACTGGGGCAGTCCCACGGGGAAACCGTGGCTGAAAGTGAGAGACGCCTTCCCCAAAGCACAAGGCAAGGGGCCCGGGGTACCTCATTGATACTTTGCCTCTAACCACTAGTCTGGTTGAGACCCATGTTTAAGGTAACGTTGGGGGAGGGAGGCGGGGGAGCAACAGAGGTTCCTTTCAAGTCTCTTTCAGTGCGGCCTTTCCATGCTCAGTCGGGCTGGTGCTGGCCAAGAAGCGCAGACGCACTGGAGAGGCTCCAGTCCTGATCCAGCAGCAGCGGGCGGCCGTGGCCCAGTCGTCCAAGTCGTCCTACTTGTTCCGTGCTTTCCGCCCCTCTTTCTCTTTCTTTTTCCTCCAGCATCGCTCCTTGAAATAACATCACCAGCACAGGGTACGCTCGCTCCCGGTTCTTCTCTTGGTTCTTTTTGGTGTTGAAGTTGTGTCGCAGGTTGTCAGAGAGTCTCCGAGTTCTTGTTTGGGTAGCTGTCTTCTTTTATCAAAGGTCAGTCATCTCTCTTCTATCCTGTCACGGCGCGTTGCGATGCCTTCAAGTTGCCTTGCCGCCATCCTCGAGTCCTTGTGGTGCCCGCCCTCCCTTGTGGTACTGCCCGTCAAGCGCGTTGACGACGACGACGACATCAACAAGAAAACAAAGACGAAATCAAGCCGATCAACATACGCAAACAACCAGCTTTGCCCTCGCTCTGGTTGTTGTCGCAAATCATGCAAGCACCTATGCATACCAAAACGACGGTCCAACCCCACTTTACCGCGCATTATCGCATCATCGGCTAGCACCTTTGTATCGAGCATGACTGCGCCTTGAGGGTTGAACGTCTGCGTTGCCGTTATACGCCACCACAACCACAGTCCGGCATGGGAATATACCTAAATCAAAGTCACGCAAGGCTCTGCTTTGGATCGCCCCAAGTACGCCCCAAGTAGCTGTTATGGTTACCTCGGCTGTCGGTGGCTTCAGTTCAGCGCATCCAACCATCCGGGCGGGCGTCGAATCGGCAACTGTACCGTAACGGGCAGCGGTGCGACCTACACACAACCATCTGCGTGCACTGATCAGCGCCGGGTCGGACTTGAACCCTTCCTCCTGCGAGACCTATGTACAACGATAAGGGCTGGGCGCGGGGCAGAGAAACTGGGCCAAAAGGCTACCTGTCGAGATGCTGCCAGAGCACTATTTCAACGGGAGTCAGATCTTTTCTAACATGACAACTTCACAGACCCTTTATATATACATCAACCATCACCATGTCTTCTCTCTCTCGTCGCGCGTGCTACAAGTGTGGTGAGCTTGGCCACCACGCTGAGGCCTGCTCTTCTCCCCACAGACTCTGCTACAACTGTAAGTTATAGACTTCTGGGCTCTTCCCGTCCCGCCTTCTGAACACGTACTAACACTACTGTGACACAGGCAAGCAGCCCAGTACGCACATTTCTCCGCCCCTGATTGGTAGCCCTATATCGTGATTCTCTAACCTCCCACCGACAGACCACGAGTCCAGCGAATGCCCTCTTCCTCGCAGCACCGAGGCCAAGCAGTGCTACCACTGCCAGGGTCTCGGCCACGTCCAGGCTGACTGCCCTACTCTCCGCATTAGCGGTGCGGGTTCTACCAGCCGCTGCTACAACTGCGGCCAGCCCGGCCACTACATGGTACGAAGCTCTTGATCTCTGGTGATCCATCGTATGGCCCTCTGACCTTGTTTTCTTCCCACAGCGCGCCTGCCCCAACCCTCCCACTGGCATCCCCCGCGGTGCTCCCGTTGGCCGCGGCGGCTTCGGCGGTTTCGGCCGTGGTGGCTTCGCTGGCGGTGCTCGCCCCGCTACCTGCTACAAGTGCGGTGGCCCTAACCACTTTGCCCGCGACTGCCAGGCTCAGGCCATGAAGTGCTACGCCTGCGGCAAGCTCGGTCACATCTCCCGCGATTGCACCGCTCCCAACGGCGGTCCTCTCAACACTGCCGGCAAGACCTGCTACCAGTGCAGCGAGACCGGCCACATCTCGCGTGACTGCCCCAACAAGCCCCACACCAACGGCGAGATTAAGCAGGACGACCTGAACGCTGGCCACGGTGGCCCGGGTCTCGCTGCTGCCCCCGTTCCCCCCGTTGCCCCTGTTGCTTAGGCAGCCGAACAGACCAACGGTGACGGCGGAGCTCACACCAGCGGTGACAGCAGCCCTCACACCAACGGTGACGGCCATGTTGCAGCGAACGGGTTCTCGCACTAGCCATCATCATTACCAACTTGTTTTATTCCTTTCTTAATACGCTTATGTATGCCTTTACGAACGAATGCAGCGGTCAAAATCTCGGCGTCCACGGTTCTCGATATATACACCATCGGCTTCATGCTCTTTCAGCACAGAGACACGACGGCACGGAAAACAAAACTTTCAAAAATGGAACGTTTCCTCCACTTTTATGTCAGCTCACGTAGGCACTTCACGGCACGGTTTTTAACCTCTCACTTGGACACAACTTCATGATACCCCGAAATTGACGAAGCGGTGTGGGTCGACAAGATCAGGCCACTGCGGAGGATGATCTCGTCGTCAGTAGGTTGTTGGAAGGTGGCCCATGTTTGGAGGGGCGAGGGCTGGCTCGTTCGAGGTCCTGTTGGTGGAAACGGCCAGCTCGGAGAAATTCAAAAAGAGAGAGCAGAGCTTGAGGATGGAAGGCAGCAGGTTTAAAAGCAAAAGCCCGATGTGTGTGTGTTATCTTGGGTTACTCATGGGCTTAGGCGAAGAGATGTCAAATCTATACGTATCAAACTTCTTGGCGCTGATATTGTGTGTGTGTGTGTGTCGTGTGTGATGATGAGGGCGCAGAAGGTCGAAGCGTTTGCTGAAGAGGAGAAATTATGGGTAGCCGAGAAGCATAAGAGGATTGGGTTTGACATGCGTTCGATATGTCGATTACAATGCTGCTGCTGTCTTTCGAGGCGTGGTCGGTTGTCGTAGGTGGTGTGCAATTAGAGAAACAAGTCACGTCTCATGCCCTTAGGGAGGCGGAAGTAGGCGTTAAATACAACAAGATGTTAAAGTAACAAGAAAACCTCAGTTGAAACACGTCGGTAAGACCAGAGCGTAGTTGACGGATTCGAGGACAACTTACTCGCGGTTGATTATCTTGATGTCTATTCACCTTGGTATTCTGCATCTTATAACCTCGCAGGATGAGAATGATGGGCAACAAAGCAGGAACAAAACTATTGGGCATGAGTGGATGAATTGGATACTCGTAGCTTGATGGTATCAGAAACGGGCCCATACTTGCTCGTCGTCTATCGTAGTAGCACAACACCAGCTCTCCTAGCAAGGAGAGTTTAGGAAAAAAAAAAAAAGGAAACAAAGCAGGAGAGGAGAAAGAAAGAGGCCGTCGTCCATCAGTCGCTATTTACAAGGAGCTCAAATGCAAAAATGTTAAAAAAAAATAAAAAAAAAGAGAAGTTGCTTGTTGAATGCCCCCACGCGGGATTGAACCGCGGACCTCATCATATCGCAGATTGGAATACGAGTGATGCGCTCTACCACTGAGCTATACGGGCTTCGTTATTTACAGTGTTTGAAACACGTAACTAAGTACCCCACCCCAGTCAATTGTCTGCTCAATCACCATAAACGGAGCATCCGGTAGGCAACGGGAAGTCAATCAACCTCACTTTCACAAGCGAACAACTCACAACTTTCCAATATCTGTTCTTCTGCGCTTCGCACCCTCACTTCATACTACCTTCACACCACACGCCGCATCTACCGATTCCGTTTCAGCTGCAATTTCTTCACACAGAATGAAATGGCATGCACAACCGGCCGGTCCTGTTGAGGTGAATGATTTATGTTGCTTGCTCAAAGCCTCACCCGCCCGCCCGCTGGGCCCTCCCTAGCAGCGAGTCGCGGCATCGTTACTTTACTTGCTCTTTCCCGTATGGAAGGAAGGATCAAATGCACCTAGCAGCGGAAAGTGTCGGTTGCAGTGGTGATTTGTGGACTTCAAGTGGAGGCTCGGCTCAAATGGAAGGAACGCTTTTTTAAATCTCAAGGGACTTAGTTGGTTCCCGTTCCTCTCCCTGTTTTTTTGAAGCGCAGCCCGTTCTTCTTCATCATCGATCCATTCTCTTTCTCTCTCACTGATTTGTTTCACCAGTCGTTTCTCTCATTCTGCCTGTTCCACCTTTGCTTCTTCCCCACCAACAAACATATTAACATGAGCAGGAACTCTGAGTCGATCTGGTTAAGTCTTTCTCTCTCTCTCTTATTCCTGCTTTCGCGCCCTGCGACAGGATTATGCCGGAGCCGCCGTGGGCGAAGCGGATGCGGAAGTCGCCGACTGCGTTGCCGATGTAGTAGGGTACGGAGCCGAGGTGGGCGAGGAGGGGTTTTAAGGAGGGCTGGACGAGGTAGGTGTCGTCGTCGACGAGGAGGTACCACTTCTTGTTCGGGAACTTGGAGTAGGCGAGTCCGGAGATGGACTGGTGGGAGGGGCGTAATTCGAGATGTGCTTGCTGTTGTTGTTGATGGATATACATCTCTGGGGGTTCGTTGGCGCGCTTACCTCTCGGCTTCCGACTGCCCATGAAGAAGGCAAGCCTACCTAGCAACAACGACGGAAGTGAGGGGAGTAGGTGGTAATATCCTCTTGACACAAAACACTGGCACATCCAAGGGGGGGAAGGATCAAGAGCGTCCCTACGGCATCGCGAGTTCCTCATTCTCAATAACTCCGTCCGTTTCCCATCACTAACTGTGTCCTTGCCAGATATACAAAGGTTGAACAATCAAATTCTTCCTGCTGGATTTCCAAGCAATGCTCGTGGTCTCATTCAGGGGTGGCCAGTGTCAAGACAGATGGCAAGAGAGATTGCTCATGTGGTAGTCCTTCCTTCTTTCCTCATCTCGCACAAGGGCGGCTTCCATGTTATCTCTCGAGCTTGCTTCGTGGTTCTTCTTTCGGGTTCGCGCACTCAAGTCGAGTACTTAAAGTCTGCCAATACCCTCCGTCTCAACGATCGGCTCCCTCTGGACAACCGTCAACACGTCTTATTATCATCAACTGCCTACCTAGAGCTACCAGTACCACATCTTGCTTACAGTCTCTTCATTTTCTCCGGCAGTGATAGCCAATATCAGTTTCACAACGACCCAAGTATTTCACCGGCACTGGCAGCGCTCAAGCGTCGGGCTTTGTCATCTCATCAACTCTTTCCCACGAGACACAGTGCCATCCCAAATAGACCAGCGGCAGACACGACTGGACGACAGACACATCGACCGGACGACAGACCACCCAGATTCAATCTATGGACGAGACCCTTCGCCCGCCCCAATCCCCGACCCCGCGCAAGCCATGCGTCTGGCTCGGAGAGACAAGGACCGCCGGCGCAAAAGAGGAGGAGAGGAGGAGCAGAAGAACGAAATCGAGGAGGAAGGAAAGGAGGATGAGAAGGAGAGAAGGAAGAAGGAGAAGAAGGACAGCAAGAAGAAGAGAAGAGAAGAGAAGACGAGGCTGAGGGAGAAAGAAAGAGAAGAAGCAACAGCAACAACAACAACAGCAACAACAACAACAGCAACAACAACAACAACAACAACAACAACAACAACAACAACAACAACAACAACAACAACAACAACAACAACAACAACAACAACAACAACAACAACAACAACAACAACAACAACAACAACAACAACAGCAGAACCAACAGTAAAGAGGCCGGCGGCATGGAAGCATCAATTCAGCATAATGATTGTGTTCGTCTTGGTGGCTTTTATTGTTTTGTTGCTGCGGAAATATTCTCTTATCTGAGCGCATGTTTCCTCGCGGGGGTGGGCTTTTTTGGAAGAAGAATGAAGATGCAGCGTTAAAAACAACAGAGGAGTAGCGAGGCATGATTACGTTATCATGCACACGACGCCGTTCTCCTCCACCCCGACATTGAATATTCCGGCCCGCCCCGCCAACGCGAGACTCCCCGAATACTCGCACGCTCTCCCCGAAGGCGAAGTTAGGCTGGCCGTGGCGGTAGTAGAAGATGAAGGTCTTCCTGCTCCCCGTGGCAGTCTAAGGCGAGCTCTTCAAAGTTGGTTTACTCACGTGTCTTGGTCCAAAGAGGATCCTTGTGGGCTGGTAGCGATCACAAAGAGGTTGTGGCTGTGGTTTGTGTGGGTGTGGGGGGTGGTGAGTGGTGCGTGGAGGAATTGGGTTGGGAGGTGGTAGGCGTGGTGAGGAAGACACTGCGATGTTGGCGTTTGTTACTGGTCATACTGTGTTTTGAGATGGGGTTGTCTCGCCTTTTCTTGGTGGTTGTGGTTGGCGAAGGGTTGACTTTGGGGGAGGAGGATGACAATTTGGTTATTTGGCTTTGGAGGTTTGGTTCAAGTTATTTTCATATGCTCTTGGTTGAGGTATGCTTCTAACTTTAAGGGATATTCTGGGGTTGTGGAGAAGACATCCTTCACTATCAGCGGATAGGCAGCATCAATGCCATATAGCGTTTTAGTCCTTTTGGCAACTCAATGTTCGAGGTCAGTTCAATCAACCAGGGCTGCCTTATCTCGTCTAATACCACAGGTAGGTATGTAACCCATCCTGAAAATCAATATCTCCCCCTCCCACTACTCATAAAACCCGATCAATCTTCAACGTTCCCCCCTTCCCATCCAGACTCCCCTCCTCCGCACTCAGCCTAACCTTCACATTCCTACTCTCCCTCTTCTTCGCCTCCAAACTCCTCAAATCCTCAAACCGTTCCCTCGCGTCCCCATCCAAGCCATGGAACAACATCGCCAACGCGCTCGTCTTCCACAAGCTCGCCCCGCTTCTTTTCGTCTCCCAAGCCGCCAATCCCAAGAAAAACGCCGCGAGGATCACGGCAGTCACAGGCAGCGCCACAAACCCCCACCGCACGGAAACAAAGGTTTCGTAGCTCAAAGAGGTGCCGTTGATGGGCACGGCGGTCAGTGTCCTAAATGTCGAAGTCAAAGAGACGGCGAGGTCGGACATGAGCATCTCGAGTCCCTTTGGCGCAGCAGGAGAGGAAGGAGAGGAAGAGGAAGGGGAGGAGGGATATTCGTAGTAGTTCCAGTAAAAGGCTTGGACGATGTCGGTGTCGAAGAAAGTTTCTCCCGAGGAGATGCCGACTGTTAGGTTTACTACTACGTTTCCGCTGGTATTGGGAAGGTCGGAGATGGTCTGGTTGATGTAAGTGGGATTACGGGAGGCCGTGCCGTTGGCGAATAAACGGGAAAACCAGGATTGCATGGCTAAGATCGATTCCATGGACATGGAGTAGAGGAGGGAGGAGTTGGTGGGGGATTGGATGGTTAGAGGGTCTAGGCTGTTGATGCTGCTGGAGAGGGAGGACAGAGAGGGGACGGTGTCGTTGGTTATTGGTGAGGATAAGTGGGATTCGTGGAGGAAGCCGTTGGTGATGTTGGAGGCCAAAGTTTGGAGGCAGACGGTTAAAGTACATTGTGTTGCCCAGGGGGAGAGCACGCCGGGACCGGTGGCGTTGGTCTCGGTGCCCATGAAGATTAATTTCATTATGGTGCTGTAGGTGGCGTCGCCTGTGGAAGAGCCGGGGAAGAGAGAGGTCATGCCGAAGACCTCGGCTGAGGAGTTCAGTTTGGCGGCGCCGGAGGGGAGCTTCCAGCCGCAGTCATCTGTGTTGGTTATGCCAGGGGGGCAGTACCGCGTCATGTACTCGGACATGTCGACGCACTTGTGACAGACGCCCAGCGTCTCGATGGGCGGGAACGTGCAGTTGCCTGTGGAACATTGGAACGGCAAACCCATCCAGGGCCGGCCGTCCTCGGCGAACAAGCCTTTGTACACGGCCGCCTTGATGGGCAGGATGGGAACGAAGGCTTGGCTGAGTGATTCCTTGCCGTGCAGCGCGAGGCCGTACGTTTCGGTGCGGTAGTTAACTGCCCCGGACGGGGTCTCGACCATTCGCGTGGGAAAAGTGGCGATCTGCTGAGCAAAAGGGCTGAGAAACAGCGCGATGACCATCACCACGGCACCAAAACTACCCGCGAACCCGCCCCGCGCGCGGAAGAGCATGTTGACGGCCCCAAAGGCGCCGCGGCTCGCGTCGTCGTAGAGCTCCATGTCGCTTAGCGGGGCCCGGCCTTGCTTGAAGCGAATCCATTTGAGCTGTCCCAGCCCGCCTGATAGCGGGACGCTCATGCTGGCTGTGGCGACGGTGGCTAGGATGGCGATGACGGCGTTCAGAGTGATCCAGTGCGGCCAGGAGGGTAGCGGTTGGCCGTCGTAGGTGGCTAGGACGGCGATGATGGAGGCGACGGCGCCTAGGGCGACGAACATGCTGATGGTTTCGTAGGTCCAGGTGCCGTTTTTGGAGAAGATGGCTGAGAGTTTGCCGTCGGATTTTCCGGAGGAGCTTGTGCTCATGGCAAATTGCCGGTTGGCATCATGATTTCGTTGTTTCTCCCAGGAGGCTGGGGAGGCGGACATGGGAGAGACGGAGAAGGTTGTTGGTTGTTTGGGGGGGAACATGAAGCCTTCTTGGGTGAGGTATTGGCCTTCGAGTGGTACTTGTTGGATCTGAGGGTTTTGATAGTCGCCATTGCTATACTGGTAGTCATAATATTGCTGCTGGTCGGCGTATAGAGGCTGTTGGGCCGGGTGTATTTGGTCTGGTTGTTGAGGAACGGCGCCAGCGTTGGCATGTAGGTCGTTGGTGTTGACATATTGGAAGGGCTGGTTATTGTTGAAATCTCCTGCTTGAGGCTCTATGGCCGCTGTGAGAGGAGTCGTGCTGTCTGCGCTTATTACGCGCTCATGGCGAACTGGTTGATACGCCATGGTTTCGGAGTGTTGTTGTTAAGAGGAGGAGGAGGAGAGGTGAAGAGGCACAACACTTGGCAACCTCTCGTGGGACAAGACTCCCAATATCAAACAAACGTTGCCTATGGAAGGTATAGGCTGAACCGAATAGTATCAAGTAACAGAAGAAAGAGAAACATTCTCTCAAGAGAACGTTGGGGGACGGCAGACCAGACCATGGTTTTGTATCCCATCCGCCCCCAAGTGATGGTGAACAGGCACCAAAGAAAAAGAAATTCTGCATCTTGGCAAGTGGTGTCTTGTAACGTCGATATGGCTTCACTCTTTTCGTCCCTTTGCTGTCACCCACCCCTCCACCAGTAGGCCACCAGTCGAAGGACTCAAAGGGACGTTGTCGCTCGGAAGGGAAGGTTGATATCCCGTTACGCTTGACCCCCGCAACAGAGTGGTATCCAGTGGTATCCAAGACTTGAATAAAACGAAAAAAAAAGATGGTGTGCCCGATAGGCCGACGATAGCTTCCCGGTTCTGAGTTCTTACCTTACCATTCAACGAGTCCAACCCAACTGCGCGTAAGACGGAAGTTAGTGCGATGTGGTGACCAAACTTTGAGGCTCGCGAAAAAGATGGTGGTAAGAAAAAACCAGAATTTGAGCAAAGCTGCCCGTGGCGAGAGCCAAATCGGACTGCCGCAAACTGCGCCCCGCAGGTGCATTCAGGCTGCATCGTGGCTGCATCGCACGAAGGCTTCCATTCCTTTTCTTATGTGATCATGCAGCATGGTTCGGGCCGGCCACCCAAGCGGGAGAACGAACGACCGTGCCAAGTCCAGGGCTGAAGATAGCGGCAAATCCTCATGATGTTGAGGTTATCGTCGGCTGTTAAACGAGATAAAAAGTTAACGGAATCAAGAACACCGTCGGTGATCTGGCGATCGGGCTTTTTGCGGATTTGGAGGTTTTGAAATGGGTAAACCCCGTCGCCAAATTCAAACTCTCGAATGCCCTCGCCTTTTTCCTTGAAAGATTGAGGCTGTCAAGTATTAATCACAGCCTGGCTGGTGCAACCTACCGCCTCTACCGTCCTACCCCATCCCCGGGCATCCTACCCATCATCCTCAACACCACAATCAATGCGGCTAGGCCAGCCACTCACACAACCTCATATCCAGTCCGCCGGCATCAACGCCGCACCTTGCCTTGGGCTGACGACATCATCGCACTACCGACCGGTGCGATCGACCGGCCATGTTCCTCCGTCGGCTCTTTTTCGCCTCTGATGTGCTGTTGTGCTGCTGTGCAACTGGAAGATACTCTCTACCTACGTGGTAAGAGTGTAACACAGCGTCTGTTCTTCTTCGGATCCCTCGCGGATTGTAGAGGTAGGTGTTGGGGGCGGATTGGAAGCTGTTTGTAGTTGTTCGTAGGGCTGGCTGTGAATGATACGAGCCTTTTCTCCTCGCTGCTGTATGGGGAATAGAGCTGAGCAGTGAGCAGGCGAGTCTTACGCCACGAAGAACACCCGTGAAGCTGCAGCATTGCTAAGGTAGTTGTCTTCAACGTTTTCAAGCCGACGGTGATTACCTATCATTCGGTCCAGACTACCTTACTTAGGATCCAGTATGTTTGGTGGTGATGGTGGTTGTTGTTGTAAGAAAGAAAAAAAATCATGATTGGATCATTTTGCCGAGAACACAGTTAAAGGATCGGATCTGGTAAAGAGCTAAGAGCTATTTATAGCTCTAGACGCCGCCGATTGGCTTGAAAAGAGAAACTCAAAGCCTCGAAGCGGTCGTACAATTTCATTAACGTGTTAACTGTTGATCTTCATACTTATTATGTAGCATGTACCCATAAGCAAGATGTCAAAGGAGATAACGAGTGCATCGATCAGGTTTGTATATAAAGTTCATCATTTCGAGCAATGCGTGAATCTCCTAGGTAGCTTCCACCTGCTATGATCACTGCTTCAAAATCATCACCTATGCTAGACCCCAGAACGAAGCCCCAGAAACGAAGCTACTAGAGGTACTTCCATGCCAATGCTAACTTCCAGAGCCTGCCCGGTTTTCATCATTTGATGCAAATGTGATATAGCTCAATAGCTCAGCTGCCTGCCTTTACCATCTAGACTTAAATCGCAGGTTAAGCCAGCGAGGCTTCTTCCAGTCATCCCAGGTGATATAGCCGTATGATACCATCAATGTATCTCAGTCAACTTTTTCCTGCGCCTTAAGACTTTTTGGTCCATGTCTCCATCTATAACCTGTACAAGTAATATCCACCATATGACCATATGGAATGGAGTTATATGACCATCCATCCACTCCAGTCACATCCGAGATACTTTATCTCAAAATGGTGTGTGTGACAAATGATGCTAGTAGGTAGCAAAAAAGACAGCAACTGCTCCTCCAATAACCCCCTGCCTCCAGTCATCTAAGCCCTCCCTCTCAAAGCCTGGCCGCTTGTCCCTAAGCAGCAACCGTAACACTCGAAGCCGTAGCCGCCGCCTTCTCCCTCTGCTCCATGGCCATGGTAAAGATGCGCTGCCAAACCTCCAGCCAGCGCTCATGCTGCGCCGTCGGCAGCTTGCCGGGATTCTTGAAGCTGCGGGCCATCATCTCCTTGAGTCTGGTCCTCAGCATCTTGACCACCAACATGGTCTTCCAGTCGGACACGGCAAAGCGGGCGCGGTTGCCGTCGAGGACGAGCACGCCCGAGTACATGTCGGCGCGGACGTCACCGCAGAGGAGGGCGACGGCGAAGGGGTCGACGGCGGTGGTTTCGTGGGCGTTGTAGACGCTTCTGTTAATCATGTTAGCATCGGTTTTGAAAAGGACAAGAATGACACGTACCCCTTGGTTTGCATGATATTGTAATAACTCAACCACCGCAGCTCGTTATGGCCCTTGTTCACACTGCTAGGATGCAAGCTGATGTTCTGGTTGTTGCCCACGTTGCGCAGGCCCTTGCTGCCGGGCACATCCCTCACCAGCAGCTTCGGGTAGAAACTCCACGCGATCACCGACTGAGCAATCAAGTCGTTGTCGCTGTTGATATTGACCCGCTGAGGTACCTCATAGAAGGTTTGGTACCGACGTTTTCCACCAAACCGGAGCCTGTTAAGCACCTGTCTCTCTTCAGTGGTTAGCTGCAGGAAGCCAGAGTCGGCAACCGACACGAGCAGTTGGCCCTTGAGATCCTCAATGTTCGCTAGAGTCTGGGGCGAGAGGAAGTTCTTCCGGCAGTACTGGAACTCGGCACCACCACTGGTTGACGACTGACAGACACGCTTCCAAGACTGGTAGGCGTTGTACACAGTAAGAAGATCAGAGTCACCCTTGCGGAAGCCCATGCGGACCGTGTTGGCTTGTTGACGCTGTCCAAACGGAGCAACGAATGGAGACTTGGACGAAAGGATAGCAGCCACGGTAAGAGCCATGTCGAGACACTTGAAGATGGCCCCGAGAAGAATGAGCTTGCCCAGGAACACGTCAAGCGGCAAGCGGGCCAGCTGAAGACCGAGCGGCGTGAGCTCTTCCGATGAGGCTGTAAGCGCACGAACATCGACAAGGGCATCGATGGCACGACGAATGTTCTTGGCCGAAGGTGGGTCGAGCGCCTCGCCCAGAGTCTGTTCAATACCACCAATCTTGCAAATCTTGACGCGAATAGCGAGATCCTGCAGAGAAAGACGCAGCATTTCGGGAGTTTGCTGGTCGCTCATAATGTTGTCATGGCGATGTTTTGTGAACATGTGGAAGCAGAGACCCTCCTGGACACGACCGGCACGACCACGACGCTGCTTGGCGTTGGCCCGCGAGATGAAGGTATCAATAAGTCGGGACAGCTGTCTCCGTTCGTCGAATCTCATCTCACGATGCTTGCCAGTGTCAATGACACAGGTGACATCGGGAATGGTAATACCCGTCTCAGCAATGTTGGTAGCCAGGACGATCTTCCTCAAGCCAGGAGGAGGGACGAGGAAGGCAGCTTCCTGGTCCTCGGTAGCAATAGTGGAGTGCAACGGGTAAACCAGCCAGTGATCGGCAAAGGCCTTGTCGCCGAGCAGCATGTCGTTGAGTGTCCTGATCTCAGCAATACCAGGCAAGAAGACCAGGATGGCTTTGCTGAAATCGACGTAGTCAGGATGGTTTGCAATCGTAGAAATCAGCTGGACGATTAGATCAAAGTCGATCTGGTACTCGTCAATCTGTGCCAGCGTATTGCGAGTTCTGACAGAGTAATTCTTGAGCGACTGAATCAGCTCAGGCTTGGAAGATGTATCAACCTCGGCATCCGCCTCGTCATCAAGCTCAGTGAGTTTCGATGCCACGGGATTCCGCTGATCGAGGGTATATCCGGTCAACTCGACAGCATCTTCTAGGTAGGCAACCTTGACGGGGAAGGTCCTGCCGGGAACATTTAGGACTGGCGCTCCGCCAAGGTAGTTCGAGAAACGCTCAGCATCAACGGTGGCTGACATGAGAACCACCTTGAGATCCTTTCTCCGAGCGAGCAACTTCTTGAGAACGATCAAGAGGAAATCGCTGTCGATAGAACGTTCGTGTACCTCATCGAGAACCAAATGGGTGATCTCGTTGAGGTCATTGGAACCCTCCAACATACGCATGACGATACCAGTGGTAGCATAGACAAGGCGAGTCTCCCTGGAGGTGTTTGCCTCGAGACGGATCGAATAACCCACCAAAGACCGAGGTGTTCCAACATCACCTCTACCCTCGCCAATTTCCTCGCTGACTCTCTTGGCCAGAGAGATGGCCGAGATACGACGAGGTTCTGTGCAGTAAATCTTGCAGTTTCTGCCCTTCAAGAGCTGATCCTCAAGGAGGAAAGCGGGGACCTGCGTACTCTTTCCGCAACCAGTCTCACCGCAGATGATAACCACCTGTTCTCTCTCGACAGTGTCGACAACTTGTTGCCGGAACTGCCACATGGGAAGCTGCATGCGAGACACCAACATCTGCTGAAACCTAGGCGTGCTGGCCTTTTGCAACCAGATCCTCTGGTAATACTCGGGGTCCTGGGCGTTGCGCTTTGCCCGCTCTTGGTCTGATTCCGAGTCTGTCTGATTCCGGGATTGGCCACGACCCTTGAAAGCACCCTGGATGATGACACCGTCCTCCAATTCCTGATCCATCCGCT